AGATAGATATAGATAAATAGATAGATAGATAGATAGACAAACAAATAGATCAATATATAGAAACAAAAACACATATGTATATATATATATTATATATATAATATCTATATCATAATATATTATAATCATGTATGATCATGTATCATCTACATCTACCCGATCTGGCTTCTACATAATATCAAATACCACTGTTAAAAATTTAACGCAGGTCGTGCATCTAGGCGGCTTGGTGGTCGTCTGCTGATGGGATGCGATTCGACACCACGTTCCCGTCCTGAGCAGGCTGGTACAAACACCTATCAAAAACACATCTTAAGAAAAATGGATAAAAAGTCAACGTTTAAAAACAACAACAGGCATAAAACACCAAGTGTTCCATCAATTTAACCGACAAACAACAAAAAGTCAACGTTTAAAAACAACAACAGGCATAAAAAAAACATCAAAACACCAAGTGTTCCATGAATTTAACAGAGAAATTTACATCGCCAAGCGTCATGACCAGTTTACATCTTAAAATCCAAAAGCAACATCGCCAACGTTGCAAAAGTTGCTGGTGTCATCATTGCCATGGCTGATTTCGAACCAGCCATGGCAATGATGACATCGAGACGGGTATCTCTTATCACCAACAACACATGGTATAGTAATTATGGTAGATATATATCAAACTAATGGGGTTTATCAACAAACTGTAAACAGCTATGGTACATATATTAAATATTACAAGTACCACAGTTTGAAACGGGGTTTTCTCAACCAACAATCATCAAACAGGGCAGCACCGCAGGTACAACCCATGACACCATCGTCAATTCGAGGGTCTTGAAGAACTCCGAGGTGGTGTCTTCGTTCACCGTCAGAACTCCAACGTGAGTTCCTCGGTTGAGAATCTATGGGCGCATGAGAACTGGCTAGATCTGACGCCCTATTTAATAGTATAATGTACGTTGCTATGATCGGCTACAATTATAGGTACACACAACTACACACACATATATATATATATTATATATAGTTATACGTATTGATATGTAAATGACATGTTATAAATACGTTTCACATTTCAAACTCTATAACAAAGTCATATTCCAAGCCATAAAAAAAAAATCTATGAAAACTGGGGACTATTTTTTTGCTTCACCAAGTGGGAGATGTGAGGCCAAAGAACAAACAGAATGACAGCAATGAAAGCAATCACGATCCGAATGTAACATCTAGCAATAGTGATCATAGTATCAATAACATTAAATTAGAACATTTTATAAGTTGTATTTCTATGTACTGTATTTCTGTAATCGTAGTTGACATATGATGGTTACATATATGTGTATTATATATAATTATAGCATATTGTTTATAAGTACAGCAGTGATGATTACAGTAATGAGCAGTGTTCAGTTCATCTGCGATTTTCTCATCCCTCTTGCTGGTTGTTGTTACGATGGGATTCCCAGTTCAAACATGAGTATGTAACTATCAAAATACTATAACCTCCATATCGCAATAAATCAACGGGGGCTTTGAACACTGATGAACACTGCGAAAGCATAGCAATGAGGATGATGGTGATACGCGCAACAATAGAACTTATCGTATTATTAATATAGATTCAAAGACCTGCATAGCAAGGATACAAAAGACAACACACAAATGATCATACGAGTATTTGATACAGTAACAACAGCGATTCATGGTGTCTCTCAGCCACTTTGTAAACCATGAAGCCATGCGACAAGGCCTGCTAGACAGACATAAGCTGCTGAGATGGAACACCCAGAAAGTGGCATGATTCTGTCGCTAAAAGTCAGTTGTGAGGACCTACAGCCCGAATCTCTAAAGCTGGAATCATGTTTGACAAGGACACTATATGAACTATGAACCAGCATGTACGGGTCTTGGTCCAATAAAAAACACTACCCTCCGGGTAATTGAACACAGCTCATGTTTTTTTTGAACATGGCCCATTTAGTTCCTTGATCATTATGATCATCATGTTTAAACATGGTTTTGAAAAAAATGGATGTTCCACTTCCATCCACTTCCCCTGGTGAAACGTTCCACGCTTAAAAAGCCGCAGCGTCGGTTGTGTTTCTCGCAGAAGTCGCAGAGTTCCCCAAAGGTCTCGGGGCTCACGGTGATCGAGGTCCGAATCGCCGGGAAGATCACCTGGCCCGATCGTCCACCGTGTGGACGGCTCCAAAAGGGGATCGTTGAAGATGCTTAAAGGCATCCCATCATCCCATCATCCATAAGGGTTTGTCTGAAAATAGGGTATATTCCCAAACAAATAGCCATAAAAAATAGGGATAATGATCATTAACCATTGCAGAATTCATAGTTATAAAATGGATTGAACCAGTTATAAAATGATTTATTGAAGTGTCATCCATAATTCATCCATAGTTCTAAAATGTTATAAACTCCATTGAAAATCATTATCCACTGATCATCCATTAGTTATTACCATCTGGTTATGACTAACAGTTCGCCATGGAAAGATCCACCCATTTTTAATATGTGAACTAACCATCTATTTCTATGGGCCATTTTCCATGGCTATGTTAAATAACCAGAGCTTAGACCTTCCAAATACCACAAAATACACAAACATGCTAAAAATATTCAAAAAAACCTAAGATGTCAGGTTGAAACAGCAGTTTGACGAACACAAACAGAGGGTCTAGGAAGCTATTTAGAATCATTTCGAGGCGAATGGAAGACACTCTTATTTTGCATATTTTGTATGCCTGATTTAGACAATTTTAGCACATGGGGTGTGGGTCCGGGTGATTTGGAAAGCCACATTGGATTACTCCGTACCATCGTGACATGTCGTGACCTCATACATCTGACGACATCCGGTGATTTCAACAAGAAATCACTCTCTGTAGCACGTCGTCACAACCCGAGAAGGGACTGACATGACACATCCAATGACAGGATTTGGTGTTGTGAACATTTTCCACTTCGACTTTGGTGTATCTTCAAACACCAAACACGTCTGAAAATAGCATACACCAAAATCCACTGGTTGTTCATCATTCCCAAATTAATATCATGTTTGTGTGGGGTAATGTTCCATTTTCGCATCCAAATGTGCCTGTTGTCTCAACGCCAACACAAAAACATCCTTTCGGATTGCAGCATCCATGGTCGCAGGGCGCCCAAGGTAGACTGTAAATGACAGGCTTTTGCTGAAGTATAAAAAATGTCTCTCTGCTAGAGCATTGCTATATCATGCTATATTAAAGTATCTTGCATCATACATGCGAATGAACATCTAAATGCATACCGGTCCTTCGTTCAAAATCTCAGATTGCGCTGACTTGAAATCACCCAGTGGCCATTGTCATGGTGAAACATTCGCATCGCATCCCCAGAGATTCCTATCTGGATTTGCATAGACTTTGTTTTCTGAGATGTCCAACATTGTCCAATCAGGTGCCATTTCTATAAAGCTGTGTTCACTCCGGGTCTAAGCTGTGTTTGAGCCAAGAAAAGCGCAGTCAGAATCATTTTCTCTAGCGCAAGCGAAACCATGCTTCAACACCGTTTCACAGCCGCCAAATGATTTTGCGAGGAGCTTCCACAAAACCTGACAGGATCGATAGATGATTTGACCATACCATACGCTGGTTACTGCCATCCCCACCAGGACTGGGACATCCCCCAAAACGTGCTGCCAGGTCGCAAAGGAGGCTATGAACTTGTCCACTCTTCACCCGTTCTGCCGACGCAATGCGAAATGCTTGTAGCTACACAAAACCCATCAATAGAACGAAAGCTGACTGGCTGCGAAACTCAACATATCCTGAAATAGAACGTGTGCCATATGATAAACATTGATAAACATCATACTTTACATGTTTATGGTTTGGGGAATCAGGAGTGCTGAGCAGATCCTCCAAAAGAATCCAAAAGCTAGTGGGCTATCCAGGGAGAGGTATGGACCACCACCTCGTCGCCACATGGCGTAAGCCCACTTCTTATCTGCAGAATAACACAGCGACCACAACCATCTTTGACTTACAGACATCATCATCCTCATCATCATCATCATCATGATCCAATAAATATCTGTCAGATCTACCCGAAATTCTTTGGCGCCTTCGATCCAATTTTGGGTGCAGTCTCTGCAGCAGCCATGATCTGGAGTCATGCACTCCTGACTTGGGAGAAGTTGCAACCGGGATATGATGGGGATACAATGGGGAAAATGAATGAAAATGATGATTATCATGGAATGATTATAAACAGGATATGAAAAAAGGAATGAACATGAATGAACAAATATCGAATGATCAAAGAATCAAAAACCTGGCTGAATGATAAGAATTCACTCACCTGAGAATAGCTGAAACTCAGGCGGCCATTTGGGGATGATTCTCCACATTCGAATCATTCCAGTGACTAAACATACTAAACCAACGAGCAAGTCCCTAAATCCCATGGGTTTCGGTGAAGCAGTGAAGCTCCATCCACTGGCTTTGAAGCACAAGACCGGGGGGATATCCTTTATGTCTAGACACATGGCTCAATGACATTCTGCTGTGTCACATCGCTGTACCATTGGTTTTTTCATTGCACCCTTTTCATGTCAACCGGTTAACATAGTTAACACACAATAAACCCTGGGATTTTGCGGATTGGGCCTACCCAACCCCGGTGACTTCATCCCAATGAGTTCAACGATCCAGGCCGACCCTGGCCCGTGACGTGTCGCCTGAAAAACCACTCGCTCAGGCAAGGGCAAATTCGATAAGCCTCTGCATGACGATCTGAGCTGAGCATTGCTTCAAGACGCACAAAAACTGACTGGGCACAAGAAAAAGCCCTCCTGACTCTTAACCACTATAGATAGACAAAAAACAAACGACCGAAACTGCGAATACTTGAGATCATCAAATTGACCCGGCCAGTGTTTTGATGTGCTGCCTAACTCTCATTGGGCAGAAAAATTGAAGCACCCCAGGTGGACAAAAAACTGGGCACCAGGCAGATCTTGCACTGGAAGGTGGGCACCTAAGCTACAACACTGGGATGACTCTCATGGCAACCATAGGATTCTTTACCCTTAGAAGTTGATATAACATGATTAATCACCCCTATAACTATGGCCCATGGCTATATTTGTATTATATATATGTGATACTCTCTATATATACTACTGTGGATGGGCCAGCAAAATCCGATAAACCAGTTGATAGGTGGCAAACATCCCATTATTTATAGGGTTTCAACCATCCAAGGTGGTGCAGGACTTCTTCCACCCACCGTATGTCTCTCTCTCTCTCTATCTATCTATCTATCTATCTATATATATATATACATACATACACTTGTACATGAAAGTGCACCCCAAGTATGATGTGTGATTCTCCAAAATAAATTGCACTGAGTTAAATCCAACCATGAATACTCGCGGGTTTAAAAATCACTATATGAGAGCCAGAAAGATATCACCGTTCAAGGGTTTGCCATGCTTGAAATTCTATAATGAACCACTTTGGGTCACCAATCGTGAACGACACGAAATGTGTTGGCGTTGGCATGCTCAAAACCAAGGACGGCACGTCCAAATCAACCGGTTTCTACCAAGTTAGAACAGGGTCAGGACTCTTCTTGGGATCTTTAATTTTTTATGGGGGTTTCCATCAACGGGGGTACCCCAAATGGATCGTTTATGATGGTTTATAAATGGGGGTACCCCAAAGTTCGCTACGTTGGTTTGTAATGTTTATAACCACCTTAAGTAGGCATTATATATGAGTGTAGTGTAGTTAGATGGATCTTAAAAACCAAAAACGCAACAGGGGCACACGACCTTCTACCACCTAGTATCCATTTTGAGGGGCACCACTTTCGATTCCACGGATGTTTGGAAACCTTTCTATATATCCCAAATTTGTCCCCATAGATCATTTCAAAAAGGAAGATTACTGTTTTCCACTAAAAATGGCTGCCATCCAGTAATCAAACATGGCAATTGGACATCCTCCTTTCATATGATGATTTTACTATTTCAACCTCCATGAAAATGGGATTTTTCCATTGCTACCTTTGATTACTAGAGGGTAATTTGGGGGGATGACAGTTCCCCATTAATGTCAACCCTGTATTAATAACCCCCAAACGGCTGTTGAATTGGGGGGATACCATTTAAGTATCAGACATGACTATTTGGGGAGTACCCCCCTAATGAAAAAAAACATGGTTTAGTCTCATCCGGGGTGGACATGAAAAAATCCCCATGAACTCTCCCTAAACTGGTGCGACCCCCAGGTGCCCGCACCGGCACCGCCACCACTCCAAGGGCGCTCAACTGCACAGCATCGCCCACCTAGCCATGGGCTTGGGAGGCGTTGTTTCGCCCCAAAAAGCGGGCTTTTTTAGTGTCCTAACTCTTCACATCACCCAACAAAAAAGACGATAAACAAACATATGATATATATATATATATATAATATGACATAATCTCCAATAAATATTTGAAGGTAATGTTCAAATCCGGAAAAAGGCACACTTACCAACCCCTTGATTTGAGTTATATGTGTTTTTTTGTTTTATGGGCAGATAGCTGATGCTTGGCGGACAAAAAAAACAACTGTGGCAAGATATTCAAATAGCAGCATAGCATCTGGTACCCATCCAAGGGTTACCTCTAGGTCTGTATTCAAACACGGCTACTTGAGAAATCCCCTTTATACATTCAGGTTTTAATGGTAGGCCGCTGAAACTCAATAGGATTTTCCCGCCTGTGGCCATGTCTGCTCACCGGAGGGAAATCCACTTCCGGCAATAGTTGGGCAGTGTCAAAATCCCATCATATATTGGTCCATATTGTTCATCCTGGGGTACAAATAACCCATTTTTCAAAGTGATAGTGGCCAACAATCTGCATTGGAATAGCTGACGCATTAGAGATACCCTATCCCATCTCCTGAAATACTGGTTGGGTCATAGGTCAACAATGCGAATATGAGTTAATATGGACAACTTCCATGTTAGGTGCAGTTCTTTTAACCCCAACTATGGGTTGTACCAAACAACGAGGGATAGCCAGGGCTATTTTGAATGACAAACAGCTGACAACCGCCTGGCGTACCAGTTCCCTCCTCCTGGCACGACTTGGGCGCACGAGATTTTAGGAGCCAACTGGGGACTTCAGAACCTGAACCAACAAAAGCAGACTGGAAAGCATTAAACAAAACCACTGACTGGTTGGTGATTTTAACCATCTTGAAAAATATGAAAGTTAATGGAAAGGATTATCCCATATATTATGGAAATATAAAAAATGTTCAACACCACCAACCAGCACTGAAATCGAGCGCACACAGTGATTTTGCGAAACAAGAACGGATGCAAGACATGGATATGAGATGATATGAGAATACACATGTGTGAATCCAAATGAATTCAACATTTGATAAGTTTCCTACGCAAAAGACGCAAAAGGATTGCCATCTTTGACCCAAACAACCCGAAAGTCCGTTCCAACGATGGTTCCGCAAACAACCTATACTGTATAAACATGTTTTTTCATTGGTAGGGGCATGTTTATTGTTCATCCCCATGCTGGCAACCCCCTACCCAGCCTTTGCGGTACCAATCCTGCCGGATTGGTCACAAACCTGCGGCAGCTGGTGACGTTTCTTTTTCGTTTCCGAAAAAGAGGGTAACCCAAGGAATTACTCCCTGGTAAATTAACATTGACCCTGAAAATCACCAATTTTTAATGGAAACTAGTCTTCCAACCCCTATCTGCCAGGGTCGAACTGTTAATTTACTGGAGGGTAATCATCAAAATAAGCGGATTCTTTTTGAAGGGAAACCAATAATCATGGGTTTTGGGGGTACGCCAAGTTTGACGAGCCCCCCCAAAAACATGATTTTCTCTACGAGAATGGCCATAAAATGATGTTCTACAACCCATTCTCAAACAGACCCATATCATCCCATATATCAAAATCTTGTTGAAATCATCTCATTGAATCCCATGAATATCCCATATACGGCCCTGATGGATTGTTGGGGCGACACGGTGCGTGGGCAAAAATCTTCGCCACGATACAGAATTCACAGTGACACGGTGATCTACAAAAAGCACTGGATGGGGCTAGTTGAAACCAAATGCGATGAATAGCACCCAAATAGCATCACTACAAAGAGAACAAACACATACATAAATAATAATAAATAAATATAAAAGAACACTTTTTTAATCTCTAACCCCGTTGTCACTGACCTTTTCGTAGTGGGTACTTTTCTTCCAAGTCAACACCTCATTTTGAAGGGCTAAAGTGCTTTCCGTAGCCGGGCACGAGCTCAAAATATGGAGTGTTTCCAAATTGTTTTTTTAAGCGGGGAATGCTATTTGTAGCCCACTCTCACAAAATGCATCAAAATGGCACCATTTAAAGATGAACCCTATCTATCCTTAATTATTTCAGTACCATTGACATCTGGATCTATCGAACATATTCGGCATCCTCTTGTTTTTGTTTTAAATTCCTGAGGCATCAGAAACTGCTCGTGTTCCTGAACCTTGTGAGAGCGATGGTAAGGCTGTTGTCATTTGTGAAAGAATCAATGTTGATCTTGCACGGCCAGGGCAGCTGCCCAATTTCTGATTGAAAGCCACATCAAGTGATCAAAAAACCTTGTTGTAGCAAGGTTTGGACCTGCCAATTTCTAGTGGGGTGCCAAGGACAGCCATGGATTGCTGCTAAGGCGAGGCCTGTTTGGGTTGGTTGGTGTTTCAATTGATCTTGGATTCATGATGGGCTGCTGCATTTTACTTCATAAATTCTCACCATGTAATGGCCCAGACGCTTGTATGGCTTGATCAAAGCATGGTTTCACTGCTGTTTACCGTCAGGAAAACTGTAGACGCAAGTCCTACATTTTTTAATAGGGGGAATAGGAAAGGAGATAGGATCGCTACATTTTTTTAATGGCACGACATTGCTACAATTAATGTCAAGTGACGATTAATAAACCCCTCCCGATTAATCAACCACCATTGCCCAAAAAAAAAATGTAATTTAAAAACAGGTGGTCCCCCCAGATTAATAAACCGGTGGGCCTACCCCCGATTGATCAATCACCAGTGCTGAAATCCATTTTTTTATCCAACTTTTTTTATTTCCAATTCTATTTATTTCCAATTGTTTTTACATTTTTTTTAATCATCATTGTTATACTTCAGGTTTAAGTTGATCATTGAAAATTTCAAAAAACAACTATTCCCCAAATGATCGATTTCTAATTAAATTCTTCTTAAAAATCATCAGCTTGGATAGCTCCCAAAGGGTACCCCCCATGAGCCCATGTCCCCCATTAATAATAACCAGGGTTTGCCCCTGATTAATCTAACAAATCCAATGGAATCCTATTAAGATCTAATTGACGTAAGCCATCTCCAAAGTTTTATGGTTCAGAGTTGCTTATTATTGGGGGATGGTCAAGGAAACCAGTCAGAAGGTACCCCCCCTACCTTCTGGGGGGGGTTATTAATCCGGTGTTGGCATTACTTGGGAAGAAATGGTCACCAAAGACGTCTGCCACGTGCATATGCCGTGCTCGACTGCTCGGGGTTTCCCTCAACTCGATCAAAACACGCTACAAGAAACACGTGGAGATTCAACACAAAGTTCAAGACGTTCACTTTTACAAACCAATGACCTGTGCACAACATACCTTGCTACTACTACTTTTTAAGGGTGGAATATGTGTTTTGCAGTGGCAAAAAAAGGCCTAGCCCTATGTGGATACTGATATATCCCATTAAATCCCATTAACATGCCAGAAATTTCGTATTCTGGGAGACCCTATGCCATAAACCATCCCCAAAATCACCAATATAATGGCTGCTATATATAAGCAATCCCCAAAGTTGAGTAGTTGTTGAGGGCATTGGGCTTCCCCATAAAAAAAGGATGATTCAACATGCTTCAACATCGATTCACGTTCGATTCAGATCTCATAAATCTCCTCTAAATCTCCCATAAATAATATCTTCCATAAATAATAATGGTTGAATCGATATATCCACCTTTAAATCTGCCATAAATATTGGCTTCACCACGGTTGTTGGGCCCCCCCCCATCACTGGCGCCACGGTTTTTCTCAGATCTTCCGAGGTACCCGGGCAACGCAGCGCCGCGGTAAACCGCATAGGGCACCGCAGCGCCGGGCACCGCGTATGGTGCGTGGTGCACCGCGTGGTACGGCAGCGCGGGCGCGGGAGTATAGGCTTGGTGCCGGACCTGAAGGTGGCTGTCCAGGCTTGGTCAACTGGAAATTTCGCAGTAAAGCCATGGTAAAACCACCGTTTTCCCATCTCAATTCTAAGTTTAAGGTTAGGTTAGTTCATAATCAATGTAGTGTGCGAGCACATATTTCTATAGGTAGGTTAGTTCACAATCCCCAATAAGCCAGTCAGTTACACCCTATATTAACCCATCAACAGAGGCATGTTACTACTTTTGCAGTAGCTTTCTCCAAAGAAAGCGATGTCACGAATCACTATTGTAAATGATGGGCTTCGCTTGACAGTTGTATACAGCAAGTATGAGTTTTTTGCTGAAAATTTGGTATACCCTCTGGTAATTTAACATAGCTATTGAAAATGACCGTTTATAGTGGATTTTCCCATTAAAAATGGTGGATCTTTCCATAGTTATGTAAACGTTTACCAGAGGGTAATAGTATACGACCGAACATGTGCCTAAACATCATTTTTTTTGGCGTGCCCCATCTTTAGACAAACTCATGTCTAGCAGCTAGTACCAACTGATAACATCTAGCATCACAAATTGCTTTCCCTGCAATCGCTTCCCCGAAAAAGCATTAAGTATCCACAGAAACTATGTTGGATGTAGGCCATTGAAAAACCAATTTTGTAACCATTAACCATGGGGCTGTTTATGGCTTTCCAAATATGTTAATGGTCCCAAATATGTTGTCTGTCTACCATATTAAACATTTACCATAAGTGAAACCATCGCAAACGAGATTATTCACCTGGAATTGGCTTAGCGTTCACCCTACAAACGCGGGAAAAATCAGCACCAGCAACTCATTTTTTTCGGTGGAAAGTCCCTGTTCCACCAGCCATCGATGGGTATGTCTGAAAATGGGGTGGTATATCTAATGTCCATCAATAGTGGGACATATGATGATTCACATTGATTCACCATTAAAGAAAAACTATCCCACTCGTAGCTCTGTAGGTGTCCTGGGCATTTGTGCTGCCAAATAGATTCCCTGCAAAGAATGAGATACAGTACCTTGTGCAACAAACAACTTCTACCCTCTGGTAATGAATTATAGATCATTTACCCATGAACAACGGCAATGTTCCATAGCTAATGAGTTAAAATTAGAGGGTCAATGGGATCTTTTGATGTTCCACCAACAAAAGGACAAAACATCAACCCACGGATTTTCACCTAACAACCCAGCTTTACCAAAGAGGTTTGCCCCACTCACCATCTCCAAGTGGGCCTGCAAGACCTGTGGTGCTTGTCCCTGGCCATCCGCAATGCTTGGGATGGTATTTCCTACTTCAGGGTGCACTTGAGGTTAATTTTATTGGGTATAACCATGCTTACAATCCCGAAAAAGTTGGGATATGGTGCCATATGGTGCCCTATCACTTTATACTATAGTCATATATATATATATATATCTATCTATCTACTGAGAACTGGAACTGCACTTCCAAGTATGGATCTCCACGTACTAAAGGGACTGAAGTTACTGAAGAAGAGGGAACTCACAGAATAATTTTGGGCAACAAACAGTATTGGATCTTGCCAAGTTCGAGTTCCAGCTTGCTTAATCGGCCTGATGTCAGTTGGATGGATAAACATAGGCCACCACCAATCCTGCCCCTCATGTTGCAATCTTTTTTGGCATCCACTGGGTTCCTATTTTTTTTCATGCGTGTCAACATCATCCAAGACATATATGTGCACAGCAAAACCTTGGGATTGTGAATGGTGATACACTTCAACAGCGCAGGAATACAAGTTGCAAATTGTGTGTATATATATATATCTATCTGTATATACATACATACATACATATATATATATATATGTATAGAGAGAGAGAGAACCTGCACAAATAGATGTAAAAACACACATATGTACAATACCATACTATGATACAATATCGTTCATGCAATCTAGACAGAATGTGTATGTATATAATTATATGGCAGTGTGTCAAAACCTTGTACCCCTGGTGAACATCAAAATAGCTGGTAAATGGATGTTCATCCCATTAAAAATGGTATTAATAGGTATTGATCCATACCCATATATATACAGGTTTATCATGGTTCTCCCATCATTTTCCCTATCTGCTGGATCTTTTCCCCGCCTGAGATCGCAGCACCGGAGCAGGGCCAGCAGGGCCAGCAGGGCCCGGCACCACCGAGCAGGGTACCTGGTGGAGCCCAGGTGTTTCGTAGCGGTGCAATTGAATTTCATATTGAATATATCATATAATGTATATATAGGCTCGTCCCTGCTACCACATACGATGGGGTGGAGGGGTGGGGTGGGATGTTAACGTTCATGTGAACTTGCAGAAGCAGTTGATGCTACGCACACGCGGGGTGGGGGGCGGGGGGGGGTGGGATGTTAACGTTCATGTGAACTTGCAGAAGTAGTTGATGCTACGCACACGCGGGGAGCTGCTGTGAAGAGACAGAAAAACAAAACTGGTCTCACATGTTTCTCGGAAGATCCTCAAACACCGTGTTCGTGTTCATACTAATGCTGCTGCTGCTGATGATGATGATGATGGTGATGATGTGATGATGATGATGATGATGATGATGATGATGATGCTGATGCTGATGCTGATGATGAGGGTGATGATGATGATGATTATGATGATGATGATGATGATGATGATGATGTGATGATGATGATGATGATGATGACCCTAATGAAACTTGTCAATTCCGCGACTAAATTTCGTCACGGAATGGACAAGTTTTACCAACCTAACTCAGGTTTGCGCGGTTCCAAGAGCAGGGACGAGGCTATATATACTGGTTGGTGGTTTTAGCCATCTTGAAAAATATGAAAGTTAATGGGTCGGATTATCCCATATATTATGGGAATATATATATAATATACTATGAATCAATATAATATAATATTTTTTAGTTCTGATGTAAATTTCTGAACTGATGCATTCGGTATATATATATGTAGATTTGTATAATGTATATATATATATATATACACATTATGTAAATAGAATTATGTAATTATATGTGTATATATATATATGTATATGTAAATCTATCTATCTATATATATATATCACTTGTTTTCACTTTATGTAATATGAATAAGTGTTTCAGAGTCTGGGTCAACCTTCCACGCCAGAAACAGGTTTTTACCCGATTCTCATCCCCGCTTTTTCTGCAAAACGGTTGATGATCCGTGTGAAAGTCCAACTTGGAACGGGTCCAAATGGGGGGACGGCCACATTTGGGGAACTTCACCAGGCTTGACCATTGCTGGTTGCATCCTATCAGGTTGGTGGTATACCTACCCCTCTGAAAAATATTAGTCAATGGGAAGGATTATCCCTTATATTTTGGAAAATTAAACATGTTTGAAACCACCAACCAGCTATCTTTTGGATTCTTTTGAAGGTCAAAAACTATGGGCCAACCTTGCTGAAATCCAGGTATTTTCATGTGGATCTTCACTTTGGCCCCGATCCAGCAGCACCTGCTGATATACCACGGATGCAGTTGGGATCAGAATCGGATGCCCCTGGCGTTTGACGTGTGGCTGTCTTGGTTTATTCAAAGCCGGGACCTCAATGATTCATCTCCCAAAACGGTCTGTTCAAACCCCGAAGTGCCAAGTTTTGAGCATTCCACTAATTCTGAAACGGCCATGCTAGACCATTCCAGTATTTTTATGTATTTTTTCCAGTTCCCTGCAAGATGGTCATGCTTTTTCAACACGTAAGACACTTCTGAGTACCTCAAAATGCGTGGAAAAAACAGCGACACTTGTCATGGTCAAGACATCCCACCTGTAGTATTATGTGGTCATGTGATCTTGGCAAAACCGTTTGAAGGGCGTTTCAAATTTCCGGATGTACATCATCAGCCTGGGATATGAGACATAGATTGAGAGATAATCATGATCCTTAAAATGCCTTAAATGCACACTCCGCACATTCCGCCCGTATTTGCATAAAAATGATGGCCGTCTCCCCTGAAATATCACCCTGTATCCACATTTTAGAGCACCAAAATCCAGGACACAAATTGGCGGATTTGGGAATCTTCCGAAAATGCTGGCAGATCAACTTGGCAGTTTGGGATCCTGGTTGATCTGGAATCCCGCCTGCTGGGCCGCTTCTCGTGCATGGCCCTGTCCACGATGCCACTGGCGTGGGTAATCCCATTTCTTTTTCTGGAAACAAAAAAAATGTTCCTATCGGGAACGACAATTCCTGCTGGAATTTTGTTGCTAATCTTTTTTGAAAAGGATCTCCGAAGCCTCAGGCATAGGCATAGTTTCTTCTGGGGATACGCAACACCTGAAATGAAATTTGCGGAAATATGCACATAAGGGACAAAACAATAAGGCCAAATCATACTGTTGTCTCTCAGGACGCTTTGTCTCACAGTCCATTACCATCTACCAGTCAGATGGACAAACAGCAAAATCGGGTGATCTGACAGATAAATTCACGTGCATGAGTTTAAGTTCACAAGGATCCGAGCTGAGAAGTGCAACACCCCAAAGAAAACTCATTCATGAAAGGACACTTGAGAACCATCAACACATACTGTAAGATTGGTCAAACCTAATAACATCTAATAACATCTAATAACATCTAATAACATCTAATAACATCTAATAACATCTAATAACATCTAATAACATCTAATAACATCTAATAACATCTAATAACATCTAATAACCCTAAACCAGCACAGACAATTAAGATAAATAAACCTCTCTTGCAGCCGAATTTTCAGCAAGGACAGATGCCTTGGTGTTGTGCAATCCACAATGTCATTGCTCAACTATAATATAGATTACTATAAAACATACATAGTATATATATATATATGTATAGATAGACATAGATATATAGATTACTATACTATGTTTTATATATAGATTATATAGACATATATTATATAGACATAAAAACATATGCATGCTTGAAATACGCCTGTAGGTGTTCACCTTCACATCGTCCCATTGTTGGGCCACCCCTGGGTGATACCAACGGTGCTGGCTGCATCCCTTGGTTTGTTTGATGGTTTTTATTGGTCAAATTGGTTGAATTGCTACACTGTCTCTGCTAATTGCATCATGTAGCTATTGCATGCTATTGCTTGGATAGAGCATGATTAATCCCATCATCCTTACCTGAAATAATCCAGAAAAATGGCATGGAATACAACACCGAACCAATTTCTTGGGCTACCAAAAACGAATTACGCAACAAATCGCATGAGGAAATTGGAATCCATGGTGCCCATTGGGGGATTCGCATCTCCATATTTACATGGCCATCTGGAGGATACACACACCAAAGCGAAAACATCCATGAATCAAGACCTAGATTGATCCCTAACCATATAATAATTTGGGGATGGGTCAAAACCCTGGTACCTGGTGAACATCAAAATAGCTGGTAAATGGATGTTCATCCCACTAAAAATGTATCTATAGGTATTGATCCATAGCCATTTAAGACTCATCATTTAATATACATAAGATTACCATGATCATAGTCCCATGCTCAGGGGGCATCCGGCATCCTGAAAACACATGCCTGCGCCGATGAAACCGAGACCGGGCCAGGAAAGGGCCCTGGTGCCGCGGAGCTAACCAACAAAAAAAGGAAAGGTCTGACCAAAAGCATCCAAAAGCTATATTTTACCAACATAGATTGATGGTTTAATAATTAAATATCAGTTATTCTCTCTGGATGTATCATGATTTAACCATATTTAACCAAGAAGAATTCGTGGTTTTACAAATCAGCATGAGGATCTATCCAATGCTGAATTCACCAAGAGACACCTACTGTCTGGGTTTCACCATTCTTTTCTTCCCCAGACCCTCTAAGTAGCCATAAAAGTTGGCGTCTTTTTTTTTTTGCAATTTTACCATTCTTGTTGAGGTCTTTGCAGGGTCGCTTTAAAACTGGCATCTGGACAAGATGCAATCAATCCCGAAGCTGATTTGAGACACACTGGATTTTTAAATGATGTCTCTAGTGCTAAAAAGACAAATCCTGCAACTGTGATAGATACAGCCACTGAATATGGGATATGATCTATAGCACCAGCAATACTTGGTCAAACAAAAACACTAAACATACGGATCCAAACAGAGATTTGCAACAGCCGGGTAGACACAACCAACATATGCAGTCATGTCAAAATGTATTACATTAATACATACATTATATACACATGATTGCATGATCACTTGAATTACATGTGTACAATATGCGAATGTGCTCAACTCCAAACTATGGTATATAAAGCTTTGGTCATCCTTATGTGACTATGTCATTCGGGAATCCGAATACATCATGGATATATAAATCCGTATACCCTCTGGTTATTTAACATAGCCATGGAACATGGCCCATAGAAATAGATGGTTTACCATGGTTTACCTATTAAAAATGGTGAATTCCCAAGGTTTACGCTGGATGGAATCACCTACAGTTTGTTTCATGGGTGTTTAAAAAGGTGCCTTTCATGGTGTTTCGTGGTCTGAATCATGGTGTTTAATAAGGTTCAAACACGGAATATGATAGATGATGATAGATGTATGTGTCTGAAAATCGGATTTAGCCCTATAGGTAAGCACTTTGATGGCGAACTTGATGACAAACCATGGGATTTTGGGGGTAGCCCACACGATTAGGGATAGCAGCCCCAAAATAGAGAACGGACGGTTGGAAAGCTGCATGAGGTAAATATCATCTGTACCATCCCGGCAAAAATACTCTTCATTTGGGGACCCCTATACATTGTAGCCACACATGTGCATGGAGTCTACAGGGTTATGAATGATTTTGATAGCTGAACAACACAAAATCCGGGCATGTCTGCACATGTCTATGTCTCCATCACTTGACCAATACACAAAAAAAGGGACGTAGTACGAGTACGACCAAACACCAAAATCGACATGTCCCATCTCCAGGGGATTTGTGGATAGTTGGGATGGTGCTTTACCACATTAATGACATTCTATACATTACCCTCTGGTAATTTAACATAGCTATTGAAAATGGCCATTTATAGTGGATTTTCCCATTGAAAATGGTGGTTTTCCAAAGTTATGTTAGTTTACCAGAGGGTACTCATGTTTCGGTATCACCAAACAATGCTGAGCTGTTTTTAGCTGAGGCGCTCATGATGCGAAGCTGGAAGCTGAGAGGAACACCAGGAGGTTATGGCTTGCACATCGACACGTGTTCTGAAACGTCTCATCCAGATCTCGGAAATCTCTTGTGATTACAGTATGTGTTGCCTCTATCTTCGTCCGTTGCTTAAATTCCACACACGTTCCATATCTCAAGATATGCTGTCATTGCAGGATTGTCGCATGCTGTCGCACAGACTTGGTAAAGGGGAAGCCGTTGAAGTATGTTGAAGTCGATTCTGACTACTGAGAAGCACTCTTGTGGTGCCTTTTTTCAGCTGCAAGGCCAAGGATAGCGATTTTTGGCTGAATTCCATCCGTTGCGAAAATTGGATGCATCATATCAATCATATGCGGGGTTAGTTTATACGACATACTGCTCCTGCAATGTTGCACCATGTTCTTCCAAAAGAAGGCTTGTATTCAATTTGTCTGACTAACATCTAGAATGGTTTCTGCTGAATTTGTCTGCACAACTTAAAGCCCTCACACGAATCAGTTTCTCTGGATGTTGAGATGCTTGGAAAAGGGGAGGGCCGCGCTTCTCAGCACCCTACTAAGAATCTGAGTGCACGAGTCATGACCCACAAAAAAAGGTACCATGACTCAGTACTAAGACTCATGGCAAACAACCTTCATGCCAAAGAGCCAATGAACATTTAAGTTCTTGATCGTTTTGGGATGGCATTGGAATGTACTGGGATGGTTTTAGATGAATTTTTGAACATTGCTGAACCAAGCACAGCTCCTGGAACAGCGACACCAAAAAGAGGAGAACTGCAGCACTGTCTCAGTGCTAGGAGTCAATACTGGAGAATGAATGAATGAATGGCAACATATAGCCAATAGATCTTGAAACTATGCTCCAATTTTATTGCTTCATCTGCAAGATTCCTGGGTCTTGAAACATCATTATAACTATAACTATAACATACTATAACCAAAATCATGGAGTCCCAGGGCGCAGACTCTGTTTTGGTCTTCGGAAGAGCTCTGCCGTCGGGATACCAAGGAACCAGTTACGATCCAACTTCGGCCAAGCATTGGCAAGGAGATAATGAGATAGGTGTACAAACAAATTGAATGGATAATTTTGATGAGTTTCTGCACTTCCAAAAAGGTATCTTGAAATTAGTTTCTGCAGTTTCAATCTATGCATTTAGTTCAGCAGAAAGATCGAATTGATCCAAATGACTCAAAACTGGGTTTGAAAAGGAGCCGGACTAGTAGAGGAATAGGAAACTAGTAGACCTCTCAAACTTTAGGATCGTAGGCCCCACTCTATGGCCCACCGGATCGCGGTCGCCACTGAATCCCCCTCAAAAAAGTACATGAAAACTCGCCGTTATAGATGATCATCCCGAAAAATATGATGTTCATGGGTGTTGTGGTTGTTGTTGTTGTTGCTGCTGCTGCTGTTGTTGTCGCCATCATCAAAACATATCTGAGGATGATTTCTTTGTCGTATCAACACATTGATTACACGGTGGATATCGATTTTTCTAAGCATGGAAGGGTTGTGGGGATCATTTCGGCAGCTGCATTTTTGACAAACATGACGGCTAAATCAAGTGACATCAACCACAATGGCATTCCTGGAATTTCTACCGCAGATCCGATCCTTCAAAATATCTCGGGGTGGCCATCTCAAAACTAGGCGCTGCAAACTGCGATGACTTCTCCAAGATTGAACATGGATGAAACATGATGAACACATATAAGCAACAAGAATTGCAGTTCATGATTGTTTGAAGGAAAAAAACACACGTAGTAAAACAGTGTCAGTCCTGGGGTCCTGGAAGACGTCTCTAGTTTTGAGACCACCCAGCTTGAAACTTCGACGACGTTCCGCAGGTTCTGCTCGCATCTTTGCCCTGGCAGATGGACGTCTGGGCTAAGCTGGACCCAAAAGCATGGACAGCAGCATTAATGAGCTTTGTGTTGTTATTAAAGCGGCATGAAGCGACAATAAAGCAACAGTTCCAATGAATAACCTTGGCTACATTCAAGACAAGGTGATAGGACATGATTCAAATCCTCCAACTACTGCCTGACCCAAATTGACGAACATCCCAACTCTTTTGTCATTAGTCCGCCAGGCGCCAGTTTCCTGTTGAATTCTGGTGGCCTTTTTGTTGCATCACATTCCCAAGTCGAAGACTAACTCCTCATCATCATCCAGGTTCAGAATGGTTGGCACAAATTCCTGCAGCTGCCAGGATTTCAGTGTGGAAAAAGGGCAGGATTTCGGGATGATTCACCAACGCGGGGGATCACCGCGGTGAAGGTGGGATGTCATGGCATGTCATGGCCCCGGACGGTGTGGTGCCGGTCTCATCCATCAAGGGGCCATCATTTACAGTTTATCTATGATGGACACTCACTTAGAACATCATGTGTTTCCAAGATTTCCAACCCTTTATTACTTAGAACATAAACGTTCTTTCAGTGCAAGTCCGCCAATATCATAGGGGTACCCCCAGTCATCATCCATTTTATTTTAGGATTTTCCACTATAAACCATCCAGCTATTGGAGGTACCTCCATTTATGGAAACCCCCAGATGGGCTTAGATCAACTCCCTGGTTTCGCGCAGCCAGTGCAGCCTCTGCGTCTTGGCCTGGAGTGGGTCAGAGAATGGGCTGATGTGACAGGATCAAAACAAATACATCATATAAGAGGAAAACCATGTAGTGTATATATATATATACAACTTAAATATAAATATATTATTTAAAATAATATATAATTAATATATGTACAATTGTGTATATCAAATATTGTGTAAAGAATAGTATACAGTAATAAAAATATATATATATTATGATGTATTTACATTGTTAACTTATATATGCATGGTGTCGCACACCGCAGGGACTTGGGCGACTTGGGCTGCAAGTCGTTGCCCAAGATTTTGGGTCCAACAATCAAGGTGGGTCCGAACCAATTTTTCGGCATTTGTTTTTTTTTTTAATGGTGGTATTCTAAAATAGATGGTTTACAATGGAAAATCCATCTATAAATGGATGACTGAGGAAGTGGGACTGGAGTGACTGGAGTATGATGACTAGGGGGTTAGCCGTACCTTCTCACACAGTGTTTGGATTAGGGGAAGAAAATCATGATGTACCATCAACTATATTGTGTCAATTTTAATTCTAGAGTTGTTCGAACAAAAAACACTTCTATATTTTGCAACGAACAGTATTCCATGGCAGGAAAGAAAACAAGAAACAACTACTCAGGATCGAAAAACCCGCATTGACCCATCACATATCGAATGCTCTTTGTGGTTAGGGTTTCAACCCCAAAATAAATTCAATACATGTCGGATCATTATCATAATTTATCCCAGATCATGTTTGAATATGAAAAGTATCTTAAAGCACCAACTCGTCGTTCGACCTTCATGCATCAAACCCTACGACCTGGCATGTTGGCGCCTGTTGGGCTGTTGCCGCTGTTGCCGCTGCCATCATTCACTTCAGCAGTTTCCTCCTCAGGTGGACCCTTGGCCCACGGTCAAATCATGTCAAATCCCTCATGGGAAATCTCGCCAAAGAGTACGGATCTAAAGGATTCTAAAGGCCCGTTGATTGATCCGTATTATTCCGTATTCAATCATACAGATACCGATCGACCCTCCGTTTGTACCCAATTAACATGCTGCGGCCTACACCATACTTTGACATACTTTGACCATGTTTTGGGGGTATTTGAAGGGTCTAGGTACTTGCTGCTTGATGTTGCTGATTGCAGTGAACTTTTGCTCCACATGGCCCAAAAGCGTAAAAGGTTCAACCCCCAAAATTGGAAGATACAAGCATCAAGATGATCCTAGAATCAAACATGGCTTGCCGGCCCATTCTCCAGTTATAGATGATTTCCGATTAAAATGCCCATTTTTAGGGGAAAAAACTTCATTTGTGAAGCACCCCATGGCACCGCCCAACAAAAAGCGACGTCTCGAAACCGTCAAAATGTCACAGCTTCGTCCGAGGGACCGAATCCGTAGTTTCACCTGGCTGTTGCTATTTGCTACATGATTTTGACCTAGTTTGACTGTTTGACTGACTATTTCTTGGTCTATATGCCTATATATATATATATATATCGATTCAGAGGGAATGTTTTGAATGAAGGACACTAATAAGAAAATGAAGAAATTCTGTGTATGTATGCACTGTATGCACGCAATATATCTTCATATGTAAGTTACACGAATACACATGTGCTAGGGTCAAACCATGTTATATGGGGTATGGTCATCCATCCCATACCAAGTGTAATTCCCACCACACCGTCACCACACCACCTCTGAGAGCGGCCCCAGTGGGGGGAAGGGCAAGTGACTCCGCTGGGACACAAATTGTGACATGTCCCATTTGAACATTACCCAACACGTTTATCATCTCCAAAGACACTGAATGAAAGATATATTTTATTTCCAAGACATACAGGAAACAAGGTTTCTTTTATTCTATTTGTTGAACCTCCTAATATATGTATCCAACCATAGTTCCCTGCATCCAATTCGATACTGTACATCTCCAAAGCTTGGCGATAGGGATTGGCTGAAGAAAATGAGGGAAACACCGGAAACAAAACCGTGTTTCATCATCATTCTCCCCATGCATTGGCATAAGTTGGAAGTATGCCTTATATGTATCATTTTCAGACACAGCTATAATATCAGATTGTTGGTGATTTTCTGGCTGAAATATGTCATATATGAATATTCCTTTAATATATTTAATATATATATATAAAGGTATATATAATATATGATAATACATATGTATATATATATATTAATATATATATATATACACGTATAATACTGTATGAATCTGTATGAATATCCCATAAAAGAGATACCGGAACTCCGAGACATGTCCGGCACCTTCAGCGGCACCTTCAGCGACCAGCGATTGCGCCTTGCCGGAAGCCGCCTGCGCGGCTTGCGCCGGGGGGAGGGGAAGCAATGGGAGCGACCTGGAGGAGGACTGCAGCCATAAAAATGTTGCGGAACACGAAAACATCATAAATTGTTACTTTTACTTATTTTACATCAGAAGTATTTTTTGGCATTGTTTTTCGGATCTTTTGGAGGGAAGAATGAGTCATATGCTCCAATCAACTGGAATATCAACGAGGTTATGAAATGGTGTAAATATGTTGGTGAATATTCCAGCGCTGTGGAGCATATGAGGAGTATGATAGGATGTTTCATCCTTTGAAGCGTGGACAAAAAAAAGGGTAGAGTAACACCCAAAAAGATGAGTGGTAAATTGAACATTGGATCCACATCTTTTGGGTGTATCTGAACATGTTCCAGATGTCCAAGTGTTTGTTATTTTTTGGAGTTTGTATACATCTCAAATGATGAGTACTGTAGGTATAGTATGATAATGTGTTAGGTTTCCAGATTGTTTCTAAATGAAATGACTCACCAACTTGTAAACAGAGATAAGTATGTGACTTTGATAAGCTTCCCAGCTTTTAATGGAACAACAAATTGATACAGTTCATCTATATAATCAAAAAAATTGAGAGACTTGAGAGCCAAGGTTGTCAACTATTTGCTAACTGCGAATAGATGCAAGTATCAACAGGATATGTACCCTCCAGTGTCATTGACGTGGCAATGGATAATTTTGTTTGAACATTTTCCCGTCCCGTCCCATTAAAATCTCCATTTATAGGGGATTGAACGGGATTGTTCATTGCCACGTTTGATTACCAGAGGGTAATTCGCTGACCAATTGGGATATCTCACCCTGGTTCCTTTGTTCTCTGCTAGAACCGTTCGTGATGTGCAAAATCCATAGAACAAAAATCCACTGACCCGACGAGTAAGACTTTCCGTGAGGCCAAACATGGCCATGTTTGATCCTCAACCAGCTGCATGACCACTTTAGGTGCTTGCATGCAATAGAATACTGGTTGGTGGTTTCAACCCCTCTGAAAAATATTAGTCAGTTGAGATGATTATTCCCAATATATGGAAATTCATAAAAAATGTTCCAAACCACAAACCAGAATATCTAGTCTGGTTGGTGGTCTTAACCTATCCCAAAAATATGCTCTGGATCTCCAGTAATCATCCCAGTTGCTCAAATCACGTGAGCCAATTGAGCCACTAAAACCATTCACGCGGGTAAAAACGCGCAATACAAAATGCATATGGGTGGGGTGGGGTGGGGTGGGGTAATAACGTTCATGTTAACTTGCACACCGACGTCATGCTACGCTAGGGTGATCTTCTCTTGCGCTTGCACACACACATGTCATGCTACGCTATGGTGGGGTAGGGTGGGGTAATAACGTTCATGTTAACTTGCACACCGACGTCATGCTACGCTAGGGTGATCTTCTCTTGCGCTTGCACACACACAAAAAAGCCGCTTTCGAGCTGCAGCTTTCCAAGCGATGCCCTGCTTTGCCGCAAGCAAGACATTTGCGCGTCATGCAAGAGGTTGAAACTTTGATGCTCTTGTATATGACAACTTCACTTCTTCAAAGCTTGTCACTTCTGTAAACATAGATTGATAATTTTGCGGTGCCTGATTTTCACTTTTCTGCACATGAAGTTTGATTTGTTGAAAGCTGAAATTTGTCTGCATTATGAGGCAAGCTGAAATTATATGGGAAAACACAGGAAAATTAACATGCAAATGGCTGCGGAACATGAATCATAAAATCCAAGCAACAAGAAAAAATGCTCTGATGCACGAAACGACGCGGGTTTCTATCCGCGTGAAGCCTAAAAACACCCAGTCTTATCATCTCATGAAATACTAGTTGGTTGATCAAGTTGATAGATTAGATAGTATATATGTAAATATGATAATTAATATAGATTTATAGATTATATAGAATATCTATAGTTGATAGATAGTTGATAGTTATATAATAATTGATAGATTAGATGGTATATTTATTCACAATTTTTGTTCGCCAACTCATTGGGCCTGGATGGTCCATCCCTACAGATTCTCGGCCCGCCTTGAAGAGTTCTTCGGCGACCTCGACAAGCTGTGGGTCTACATCAACCTGCGACGGGTTTCACGGTAGCATGATGTAGCACATCAAAATGGGGATTTAACCACTAAAAAATAGGGATGAAAGGGGATGTTGGAGTTATGGTAGGCAAGTTGCTTTGTTGGATTTGAATGGACTTGATGAAGATGTTACAGTTAGATGTGTTAACATAAACCGATTCATACCCGGAGTAGAAAATCTTCCGAGTATCCCACATTTACAGTTTCATGAGAAACTTGGGATTGAAATGGGATGGGCCTTAAGGATGTCGATACGGTATCTCTAAATCATATACTGCAGAGGATCCAAATGGTAAGCGCAGGCTGGGCCCCATGACCCAAGTTGGGGAGTCATGAGCTTCCGCCAAATAGACGTAAAGAAATGGGTAGTTTTGATGTAGCTTCCGACCATTGGGTGAAATCCTGATGCCTCCTTGACATTGCTTGAGGCCCAAAAAAATCCTGGTTAAATCTGTTGAAACCCCGATCCGAAATATCCATAGAACTTGGTGAAACCAACATAGGGTCAAACATCGATTTGACAAATGCGAAGTTAAACTTCAACATTGAAGTGTAGGGTATATCATGTATATTTACCATGATATTTATAAGTTTATATAATATAAGTTAAACATCAATATTATTTGCCAAGCCCGTGTTTGGCTTAAGACTGGTGGGGGGGGGGGTCCGGAGGGGGAAACGGAGGGGGGGTGGTGCACGGCAAGGTGCTAAAATTTCAAAAATAGGTGCTCAAATTTAAGGAAATAGGTGTTTTTTTGAAGAAACCGGGTCGGGATCCAGTCGGGACCCAGTCGGGACCCAGTCGGGACCCAATCGGGCACCAATTTTTGCATTTTTGGGCACCGCTTTTGGCCAGTCGGGATCCAGTCGGGATCCAGTCGGGATCCAGTCGGGCACCAATTTTCGAATTTTTGGCACCACGTTTGGACCTGTCGGGAAGCAGCCAAAATCACCGAAAAACATGCAAAAACACTGCAAAAATGCTATTTTTTATGAATTTGGCTGCCTCCCGACATTGGTGCCCGACTGGATCCCGACTGGATCCCGACTGGCCCGACTGGCCAAAGCGGTGCCCAAAAATGCAAAAATTGGTGCCCGACTGGGTCCCGACGGGATCCTGACTGGATCCATAGATTGGCAAGAACCCACTCCCGCACCTATTTTTCCCTTCCCAGACCCACCCTTGCCCCTATTTTCCTTTTCCGCGCACCAGCCGTGCACCAATACCCCCCCCCTCCTGCACCAAAACGGTAAAAGCAGTCTTAAGCCAAACGGGGGTTCTACAAAATATTATCGTATATTTATCATATATCGGAGAAATGCGAGGAGTTCAGTGTGGATTCTTATCCCAGATGCGGATGGAAAAAAAACACAAACTGCCCGGGAGGATCATCTCCATCTTTTTTTTGGACATCATCGAAGATCTAAATGCTGCAAAAATAGAACCTTCACCGGACCATACAAAAATGATGAAAATCATGCAAATTCACAGAAATCATATCAAATCATGCTGAACAAACACATCATTTTTTCCCTTGCATCTTTGACGTCAAGGTGTTGTACCTGAAACGGCAAAACATCGTGAGGAATGTTGGGCTGGGGTTCTGAAGAAGCAAACCAGGAATGCGCAAAGCTCAATGGCAAAGCAAGCCACATAGGCTCCCAACCAGATTGCGGAATATTTTATGATGACAAGGACCAACAGCATGTATTGAAGGCTCATGATACATAAACAGGCAGCTAGCACCAATCCTGTAAGAGATGCGCCCACGAGTGTCTGCCAAAATCCAGGGGACATGGCTCGGGTTGTCAGGCGGGATGTTCGCAGCACCAGAGGAAATATGAGGATCCATGTCAAGGACATTTGTACTCCGCAACCAAACGTATTGGCAATGATGTACTCGGAGACCGAAGCAAACCCCAGCTTGGAGGCTGACATCTCACAATCCGCCTGGCCGTCACAGCCAAGCGCCATCATGAAGCCACTCAAAATCACTGGCAAATTAGCTGCGACGCAAGAGCTGAGAGGGAGATAGTCCTCTTTCCCTATGGATGCTTCAAGGCTTTCATGCAATGGGCCCTTCACATATGCATTGAACTGGTCCAGGATTTCATCACGGCTCGGGTAGCTAGTGATGTCACGGATGTCCTGAAGCACGTCGGGGGACATCAAAGGAGCATCCGGAGCATCTGCAACAGTTCCGAAAGGGACTTGAACCGGAGGCCCCAAGGCTTCATCAAAAAGGTTCACAATTTGCTCCTGGATGACAATGCGGTCAGCTTCCACTGTGCACTCTGCACTTCGAACATCGAAGTGCTTCATCTGATCTAGCATCAACTCGTGTTTCTGCAGTTTGCGCGTGCATAGCCAGAAACAAGGAAAAGCACAGCATCCTCCGCAAAACACATTCGCGGGCACTGCATTCATCATGTAAGAGACCATTAATGAAAGCCCTGAATCCAAATCCAGTTGGCCACACCAGCCTTGTCCAACACAACAAAGGCATAGCAAAGTCAACAGAGCGAAGCTCGACAGGACCCACAAAGGCATCCAGACTGGCACAAAGCGTATGGCCTGTGAGGCTGAGGCTGAAGAGGCTTTCACACAAATAGCGACTTCATAATTGCACCAGAGTCTCTGCCAATAAGTTTCATCCCAAATCACCAGCATCTGATTGGACTGGGCTATGAAGGCGGGAATCGCCTGCAGGGTCTTCGACTTCACCTCTGCATCGGATGGATGGACACAGACCTGATCTATCCAGAACCTGCGTGGATACAGCAGATGTCCAAAGAGATACGTGCCAAGAAACACCCAGCACGGCCACAAGAATGACAGATACTTGAGTGCTGGATCTTGCTTTGCCACAGCAAGGATGCTACCTGCATGTAGTACCAAGATCAAAATGGCGAGTAGAAAAGCACAGATGCCTGATCCAATGGCCAAGTTCAGGTTGAGGCAATGGCACAGAGCCAGTCGTTTCATCCAAGATGGACATGACCAAGAATGGCTGATAAAGAAATCCACCTCCGACACCCTCTCCAAAGAATCATACCTGGAGGTCCGGTCTGGGCTAGCTTGGAAGTACTTGGAGATTGAATTCAACAGAACGAAATTGAACAAAGTATCTGCAGTTGTAGCCCTGAAAAGTCCATCCTGCTCTGCACGTCGGATTTGCTTATGAACCTGCTGCATTCAAATGGCGTTCGAGCTTGAGCCAGGCTTATCATCCCTCAATCTTTGGGATATCACAAGGGCCCCCACAATGGTAATCCCCTCTCCTTATTCTCCTTAATATTGAATACCCCCTTCGTGAAACGAAACCCTGGTTTAGTGTTGGATCTATTCATTTTTGGGGCCCTTGCTGGGGGTAGATCATGAGCAATGGACTATATAATTCTGTGCTGCTCAGGGAACTGTTCAACTTTGATTTCAGAGATAAAACTGTGACTGGCCAGTCATTGAACGAATAAATATAATTACAAGTTATGTTACTCAATTTCAGCTCAACAAATCTTGGGCACGTTTGGTAAGCCATCACCGGCGGTCCAAATTCCGTAGCAGCTTTGGGTGTTTCAGTGGGCAATGGGAAGATGGCAGGAGCATCTGGTTGTTTGTAGCTTGTAGCCACATGTATCCTGGAATTCTGACAGAACATTCAGAAATCATCATCTGGATTTGTTTGATCTTCACTAACCTGACAGGCCTTCAAGAGGGGATGATTCTGATATATTCTGAGTCCCCCTGATCCAATTTCCAACTACGACGTGACGTATCCATCTTGGGGTCGAAAATCGGCCTTCTTGGCCTTCAAGATGGCTTGTTCCAAGTCCTGGCTTCAGCGGCCCAGGGGCCGGGAGATTCCCTAGGCCCTAGGTCCAAGTAAATGATCCCTTGGATCGTATGGAAAAACCATGTAGAAACTCTATTGATCTTTAAAGACATCCCAAAGATCGAGGTTTGTCAAAACATGGTTCCAGCTAAAGTGTGGGGCTGTTTGATCATGGCGACTGGCCGAGAATTTTGAAGCGTCCTGGGTGGCAGTGATGTGGTTAGGCCTGAAACAGGCGATAAACCAGTGCTTGGCTTTCAATCCAGTGTTTCAGTGCTTGAAATACAGCGGATCATCCACAGTATGCATTCCGGGGTATGGAATAGGAAAAAAAACGCATCCCCCTACTTTTTGCCTACATTCCATCTTTCCAACCCCGCTAACTAGGCGTGTTTCAATCGCTCTCACCATGTTCATGTCAACCTTACTCCAACATGTGGATCCCTTTGGGGAAGCTGAAGACTAGTCAACCATCAGCATTTTTTTGGTGACATTTTTGGGTTCGTCTGAAAAATAACGGGAGACCCGCCAAAACCCACTGGCCCACTGGATTATCATCATTTTTCTCGCGAAAAATCTGTTTATTTGGGGCGTATACCCCATTTTCAGACACACCCAAATATCATATTGTTGGTGGAATATCCCGTTTAATCCACATAAAAAATCCCAGTTAAATCTGATCCAAATCCAAAAATCCCGAGAGAGATCTCCAAAAATACCGAGAGAGATCTCCATGAATATCCCATCAATTAAATATCCATATCCCAATGATTGGATGAGCAGCCCCTGGTTGTCTCCAGGCCCAGCCATGGCGACTAAGTCCGCCACTCCGACAGCTCCTTCCATTGGCGAAGAAAATGGACAAAAAAGGGAAGTAATTGGGCCGCAAACGGCTTACATGATGTTATATATATATACATATGTGTATATATATATACACATATGTATATATATATACACATATTGTACATACATAGTATATTCATATGTACATGATTCAGCGAATATGTATATAATTTGACATAATTTGGACATATATAAATATAAGCGATTATATATACCTATGATATCATATAGTTATGATATATATATATACATACATACATAATATATGTACACACAAACATCCCGGCGGAATTTTCACCGTCCGCATATTTATTACTAAATTATCGTTTCGCCATAGCGAAACGTCAATTTTGACTGAAAAAAAAGGGGTCTCCGAACTTGAGGGTTTAACTTTTCCATCGACAACCATGTCAGCGTTTTTTCTTCTTCAAGAGGCCCGAAGTCGAATCAAGACAGTTGCTTGATGAATGTCGCAGTTGTCTTCAACAACTCGCGTGGGTTTTCCCACCGCCATTGGAACGATCTCACATATCGAAATATTTTCCGATTCACTTTCATGGAACCTTTTGTTGTAGTAGGGATACTGTTGGGGACATCCTAGCAGCGGTGTCTCCACGTCGACATAAACAAACTATCTGTAAATATATCTATATGATACTATATGTAAATATATACATATATATATAAATATATATATATATATACAACCACCCCAGCGTAGCATCACGTATGTGTGGAAGTTGCAGAAGAACGTGCAGTAGCGTAGCATCACGTATGTGTGGGAGTTGCAGAAGAACGGGCAGTGGCGGCATCACGTATGTGTGTAAGTGGCAATGAACGTTATTGCCCCACCCCACCCCACCCCACCCCATCAAAATCTATGCGTTTTGCTGGACGGTAAAAAGTCCGTCAGCACAAACATGAAGTTCACACTCAAATACACGCAGAATCTACTGACACATGAACATATGATATCATATGGTGGTTTCCATAAATGGGGGATCCCCAAAATGGATGGTTTATGAGGGAAAATCCTACTAAAATGGATGATATGGGGGTACCTCTATTTTAGGAAACCACCATATGATGATTTCATATGTACCCTCTGGTAAACTAGCATAACTATGGAAAATCATCATACTATCAATGGGTAAATCAACTATAAATCACAATTTTCAATAGCTAGTACAGCTATGTAACAAATTACCAGAGGGTAAACCAATGTAAACGATCCCAATCCCAATCCTCCAAGGCTCGGATGGCGTCAATGGCTTCAGCGAGGGCAGCCTGGATCGTGAAAAAAAAACACTTTCACTGGTGAGATATCACCTTTCCCAGGCAAACAAAAACGTCTCCGGCCCTGAAAATATGCAGATTTTAGAAATGTTTATAGATCTTTTAAGTAAAAATCAATGTATATAATGATGGTTTAGAATAGTTTAGATTCAGATCCTTTAACTTACAATCGATGTATAGTTGAAACTAACGATTTCTGGTACAGCTATAGCAACACCTAAAAAAGAGGGACAGGTGAAGCCTCCCGTTGCCAACTCTCTTCACAGTCTGTGGGGTGAGCCCGGCCCAGTGACTAAAGATCGTTCTGTAACAACATGGTTCTGCAAGTTGCAGGTTTCTCCAACAAGTAAGGTACCTGTATCAACCAAACATGGATACCTTGTCCTGAATTTTTCCGTGACATGCTTCTGCAAGTTGCAGGTGTTGCAGGTTTTGAAGATCAAATTATGTTCGGCAAAGGAGACCTGGAGGGGGATGGTTGCAGCATGTTGGCTGGACGGGGGGGGTTAGCCCCGTTTTTACTGGGTTGCTTTTGGGGTTGGGGGGGGTGGGGTGGGATGTCAACGTTCATGTTACGCTGATGATGTTACGCTGATCATCTGGGGTTGGGGTGGGGTGGGGTGGGATGTTAACGTTCATGTTACGCTGATGATGTTACGCTGATCATCTGGGGTTGGGGAGGGGTGGGGTGGGATGTTAACGTTCATGTTACGCTGATGATGTTACGCTGATCATCTGGGGTTGGGGTGGGGTGGGGTGGGATGTTAACGTTCATGTTACGCTGATGATGTTACGCTGATCATCTGGGGTTGGGGAGGGGTGGGGTGGGATGTTAACGTTCATGTTACGCTGATGATGTTACGCTGATCATCTGGGGTTGGGGGGGTTGCTACGCTCAGAAGGTCTTGGGGGCAGTGTGTGTGCACTTGCTTTCGATGTTGATGGTACGCGAAGAACGTATTTGGGGTTGGGGGGGTTGGGTCTGTGTTAACTGTATGATATATTTACTGTATTATATAATTATATATTTACTGAATAATATATACTTGTCAGGATGATTTGTTTATGTAAATTTCACCGGTCATGTCTGCCTGCTACCTGCGCTGCAGGTACGCATCTCAGATGTTGGGGCTGGGCTGCATTGGTGTGTCAGGGCTGGTTGGAGTTCTTGGTTGCGTGAGAGTTCGTCAAGTTTGCTTAGACATATAAGTTTCCAAAAGTAGTTCGTAGTTACATGGTTCAAACGCAAGAAAGGGTTTAACGCGAATATCATGGGAATGTCATGCTTGTCTAGCACAGCTTTGCTTGTGTAGCTCGCTGCTGTGCTCTGTTTCCATGGATCCGCTTCTGTATGGTGTTACATTGTTAATTCTCCTCCGCGCAGCTCATGAAAAGTTTCCACCTGTCTGTGTTCTTTGTTCCTTTTTGAGCACGGAAGAACTGTGGGATGTTCACTACATCTTAGCGTTGAAATGGCATGGGGATGCTGGAGCTGAGACCACCTTTGCTGCAGTGGAACGAGTGTATCATTGGACGAGCCTTCGCCAGGGTTTGTCGGTTCTCAAGGAAATTTGGTTTCGTTATGTGAAAGAACATGGGCCTCTGCCAGTGAAAGTTCTTCAACAAGGTGAATGGTTGCAGAAGCGGCTACGTGGAACAATGCCGCAGAGCTTTCCTGACTCAGAGTTGGCTGAACCTTGGGACTTTCAATGTGAAATGATGTTGCAAAATTTGCTGGAATCTGGGCAGCCCATTGAGCCGCTTTCGACTGCAGGACGCAGAACTCTTGAACATCCACCCTCCGTGATTCCTGTTTCTGAGTTCGGTTTTAGTTTGTTTCTTGACATCTTACTTTTCTTCCTTAGATGACCTCGTTATCATTTCTTGTCGGATGCCGAAATAGACGAAATAGACTTTGTACTGTCATGTTCGTGACGTTCAAACTGTTGTATCCTAGGTCTGTGAGAGCCCGGAGATTCGAAGAATGTTGGCTCCTACGTTGACTTTGGAATCGGAATCCGAAAGTCAAGATGCTGAAGGAGATGCATCGTCAGCTAAATCGGAAAGTTTGTCGCCACCGCGCTTCCAAGGTGGAAAGATTATCGATAGTCCTATAGCTTTGCGACAAAAACTCGATTATCTTTTGAAGCACTCTGTGAATGCCCCGCTTCTTGGTTTGTTTTTCGAATTGTTTTCCAAGGATTTGTACTGTCAATTCTTTCCCTGATGCATTCATTTGCATTTGAGAATGATGAATCTCAGGTTGCCCTCAGCTTCTGCTGCCGAGCTCACTCACTCATCTTCGGCTGCGTCTTCGTCTGGCGGCCCTATGTCGATGCTGCAGCGGGCTGCGCTCTTTGAGGACCGTGTCAAACCGGTCGCAGATGAAGATGGAGCGACCTCCCTGCCTGACACAAAATGGGGTAGATGCATGCGGGCAGACTGTGGATATGCTTTGTCGCCGCACCTTTATGCTTCTGGTCAATTTGCAGGACAGATTCGCTTGCTTTGCAATAGGTTCAAGAAAGTGCAAGATGGTAAAAGAATGTGTTTTTTTTCCGCTCCTGTTCCGAAAGACAAATGGTCGGAGCTGCCCAAGTTCATGAGAAACAAGTATGCAGAACTCCCTGCCAGTTTGCGCCGAAACACTGAGCGCGATGTGTGAAGAACTTTGTGCCAATCGGAAAAAGAGCTGCTGCTGCGGTTTGTTTGCTGAGAGATCTTTGCACCTGATGAAGAATGAAGCATGAAGTTTCCGCAGAATGAAATGGCCTGTCAATCGCGAATATCATGGGAATCAATTCAAACCACTTGGCCATGACTCTGATACCTTGACTGCAGACACACCTTGCACGTTTCTCCCAGTCGCCAGAATTTGGTTGGTGAAGTTGTGGGTGCCATGTGTTTCACTAGGTGTGAGGTTTTTTTGAGCAAGCCAGTGGCCATTTTCCACTCATGTCACGTCTTTTTTGCAAAGCCTTTTTAGGTCCGAGTTTCACACAGGGAACGTCCAATGAAAAAATCCCTCGGACATGATAGATATCCCTCTGGGCGCAAACGACCTCCGAGTCGCACCATCGCTACGAGTTCTGGTGTCAACAGAGAATTTCACAAGAAGGGTCTCAGCTATTCTCCCGGAATCCGTGGGAAATTCAAAAAGTACCGTGCTTTGCGAGGTCTCAAGCAGATTGACTTTGCATCCTTAGCCTTGTGGTCTGAAATGCGGTGCAAAAAATACCTGGAAGCCAAAGGTTTCTTCGGGGTGCAGTGGGGACGCAGTGCTGGAGATGTCAAGCATCCTTGAACCAGCTTCAACAAGATCCTGCCTTACTGCGTTGTTCGAACCGTTCTTGTCCAGCACTGCGACCTCGCATCTTGGTATGGTTTCATTTTTTTGGATCCATCGCAAATGATATACGCATGTTCACCTAGTCTTCGACTTGTGCGTTTTTCAGTTGTGGCCGTTCTTGCCTGTAGGTATCAATTGGAAATTTGGCTACACACCCTTCATCAACCGACTGAGAGGTGGACATGAACCAGACATGCAAGGCTTCGTACGTACGGTTTATTGTGTCAGTGCTAAGATTCCTCAAGATGCAGCTGCGCACATTGTTGGGCGATCCCATGACTATGTCGATTCCATTTACAAGCAAGCTCGCATGGTGACAGGTTGGGCTGAGTTTCAGAAAAACAAATCCATGACCTTTGACGCCGGAATCCTGGAGGTAGATTCGTGTCGTACGGCAACCAGAAAAAACAAGGTGGGGTCAAAGAAACGAAAAATGACAAAGAAGCCAGCCGGGAACACGGTTGCCAAGAAACCAACTTCCAAAGTGGCAGTGCATGGTGGTCGGTTTCTAGTGGCTGTCAGCAGAAAAAACAAACAAAGCGCTTTCTATCCTTTGCCTGACCGCTTCACGGCTACATCTGCTCCTGGCCCGCCAGAGACTTTAGACGAAGTTGTGCCGCTCTTGCAACACAAAGTGAACCCCAGCAAACACATCCTGGGCTCCGATGCCTCCAAAGGATTGAAGGGAGCTAGAAAAAAATTGAACTTGGAAGCAGTCACTGCTAGACATAGCTTGTCAGAATACACACCTGTACAGTCCCTCAAAAAGAGAAAGGTTTCCACAACAGCCTTGAAAGCCATTGGCTGCAAAGCAGCTCAAACTGGCCGGCATAAAGTAACCATGGTCGGAGGAGACCAGGTCGCAGAATCTCACACAGCTCTGCTGAAAAAGCAGCTGAGACGAAACAATAAGCTTGGAGGCCTCTCATTGAAAACTGCACACGTGGATGGTTTGTCAGCACTTTACATTCACAAGAACTTAGGCCTGGAAGCGACTATGATGGCGTTCGCTCAATTCATTGCCCACATGACTGACAAAGTCAGTCATGTGAAATGTTTTGAAGATGTCTCGTGGATGGAAGACAAGTGAAAAAAAGGGCTCAACATGCAAATGTGTCGCCGCAACAAACCCCTGTAAAAGTCAATGACACAACATAACCATGTTTGAAAATTGTCATTTCGCCACGGCGAAACACTCCTTTTTGATCATGTGACTTTGCCTTTGACACATCAATGAAAAAAAGAGCTCAAAATGCAAATGTATCGCGGCAACAAACCCCTGTAAGGGTTGCTCCCAACATCCATTTTTTTGAAAAAATGAAAGTTATGTTGACACTGCTAAGCAGAACTCAAGTCAATGACACATCATAAGCATGTTTGAAAACTGCCATTTCGCCACAGCGAAACACTAATTTTTGATGATATGCACTTTGCCTTTGACAGACAGACGAACCAAAACAATTGGAAGCGGGGCTAACCCCCCCCGTCAACCCAGCATGTTGCAGCAAAAATGCAATCTAGAAACAAGACCGTCAAACCGCTCATTCTCGGACTTTATCTTCAATTCAAGGGCCCACTGCACGTCAAACTTTCGATTTTCACTGAAACAACTCGAACCCATCAACAAAAAATAAAGTTGCTCGGCATTGTCCTTGATCCAATGAGTAGGCTTTTTTGTTGAGCCCTTCCCAGGTGGAAAACTGTTGGCTTTCCAAATGGAATAGTATGAGACTAGCGCAGATTCATCTCAAACCAAAAGTCTCTCGAATGGGCACATTGCCCTAGAGCATAGCCATTAAGACCAAACACCGCCCCTGAGAATGTTGTCTACCCAGCCCCTTGTTCCCCCCCAAAGATGTTGTCATTCAACAAGTTCATGAAAAAACACGATGAACAAATTCAAAATCACAGAAGAACATCTGTATAGATATGCTTCAAGCTGAGTGGTGGATCCACTCAAAGAAAAAAAAACTGCAGAATTCAGATCAGCATCCAACTTGTAAAATCATCCTTCCATCATCATCATCTTCCATCATCATCATCATCATCATCATCACCACATCAAAACTTTCTTGAAATCACCTTGAACAAAAGACAATCCAAGTTCAAAACAAAAACACTCTATGATCCACTAAAACAATCGTTCCATCATGTTCCATCCAAAAAAAACTGGTGATTTTTTGATCCATCCCCTCTTGGAGGATCATCTAAATGTGTTCCGCAAAAATATGTTTTTTCTGTTGAAATTCCGGCTTGGTTTCTCGGGCCCCAGAGTTTCTATGAAAATATACTTTCCATATAAACATTTCCATGGTTTTTCCATGGTTTTTCCATGGTTTTTCCATGGTTTTCCATGGTTTTTCCATGGTTTTTCCATGGTTTTTCCATGGTTTTTCCATGGTTTTTCCATGGTTTTTCCATTGTTTTTCCATGGTTTTTCCATGATTTTTCCATGGTTTTTCCATGGTTTTTCCATGGTTTTCCATGGTTTTTCCATGGTTTTTCCATTGTTTTTCCATGGTTTTTCCATGGTTTTTCCATGGTTTTTCCATGGTTTTTCCATGGTTTTTCCATGGTTTTCCCATGGTTTTTCCATGGTTTTTCCATGGTTTTTCCATGGTTTTTCCATGGTTTTTCCATGGTTTTTCCATGGTTTTTCCATGGTGTTGTCCCATTTTTCGCCACGTTGTTCGCCACGTTTTTCGCCATGGACCGGGGCGCCTGGGCCTCGCCTTGGCGCCAGCGTTTCAGCAGCCGCTGGGCGCTTTGGAGCTGCTCAAACGTGGCGCCCATGGACACCGCGGCGTTGAGCAGGTCCTGACATCAAAGACCATCATCATATAATCATATAATATAATATGATACTATATGATGGTCGTGGTGGAAGTTTCAGAACCATAAAACCGCTATGTTCATGGGATAAATCCATGGTAAATCCACTATAAAATGGAACTCTAGTTCAGTGGCTGAATTCTATGGTTTATGCTGGATAGAACTATAGTTAATGGGAAATACCCTCTGGTAAACTAATAGTTTGTTATGGAAAATGGCCATAGACATAGTGGATTTTCCCATCAAACATGGTGATTTTCCATAGCCATGTTAAATTACCAGAGGGTAACCCTAATAAATAATACTGGTTGGTGGTTTTAACATGTTTTAACCATCTTGAAAAATATGAAAGTCAATGGGAAGATGATTATCCCATATATTATGGAAAAACATGTTCCAAACCACCAACTAGATAATATATATATAATGTTATGGGTGTGTATATATATATATATGTTAATTAATATGTATAACTTATAGCTCTTATACATATATTTATACATATAGATGTTTTTTATATATAATATACAGTAATACTGTATTGTTGTTTTTGTATAGATTTATAGATCTATGGATGTATACTATTTATATATAACATAGATTATGTATAATAGTTGTATAGATGTAGATGTGTAATTATATGTAATGATCATAATTGTATAGGTGTATGTATGTATGGATGTAAGGATGTTTTTGAATGTATACTATGATATATGATATATTTATGTGAAACATCTACATACCCTCTGGTAAACTAACATAGCTATGGAAAATCACTTTTTTTAATAGGTAAATCCACTATGTCTATGGCCATTTTCAAGTTCGCAAACTGTTAGTTTACCAGAGGGTATTTCCCATTAACTATAGTTCTATCCAGCATAAACCATAGAATTCAGCCACTGAACTATAGTTCCATTTATAGTGGATTTACCATGGATTTACCATGAACATAGCGGTTTTATGGTTCTGATCCACCAAGCTATGGTTAGACCGGTGATTTTTCGGCTCCAGCGGCTCCTCCAAGCCGCGCACATCTACGTGAGGCCCCTGGGTGCGACCAGAAAGCACCAAGAACTGACTTCCCGAGAATTCCAATTGTACGTCATATACCCAATAAATACCATATATGTAGTACATAACATGTAATACTTATAATTTAGATATTTATAGATATACCCCATTTCAAGTCATTCCAATAAATTCATTTTTTTGAATAACAGAGGGACTGCCACCACCTGAGCTGTTTTCCCGTGGATTGCCTCACTCTGCATTGCTTGATTTTCGAAGTCCTGGCGGCATCAACCCAGCGGATTTCTTCAACAGCGGTGGAGGTGCAGGTATCTGTTGTCCAAGTACCAAGTCACAGGCATGTGGTACCCTGTATGCCAAGCAACCACAGGCCACTTCTTGCACAAAATAAATTGGATTATGTCAAATTCCACGCAGCGGTGTTACCCTCAATTGGAGCCAAAGTCAAGCGAGATCAAAAGAAAACCGACCCCCTTGTTCTTGGAATGCTGGGCAAACGTTGGTAGGCTCGGCAAGCTACTTGTGAAGCCGTTAGTCATGCAATGTCATGCATCTTGCATACCTGGGTTACCTGAGTCCTGAACATATTTGTATCATGATCTCAAACCCAAAGAACCCAAAGAAGCAAATCAAGAAATCCGATAGATGGACCTGTTTATGTCTTCGATAAAAAACAATGTCATGATATGTCGGAATATCTTCATGACGATCCCAAGCATCCAAAAAAGCATCCCTGACCTGGAACCATCCCTGTAGGGTACTTGCTCTATTTACATCTATTTACCTCCAAAGAATCAACATGAATCAACTATCAATTTGGGTTTACCCAACATCTGTGGATGATTTTCCCACATTTTCCAGCCATGGGGTGTTCCAGCCATGGTTCCAGCTACCTGTGTCGATTACCCATCGCCTGTAGCCACATCAAGGCCATATTGAGACGCCGCCGCCGCTCCTGGCACTGAAGTGCTGGCGAGCCATATGCACAGGGGGTGTTTTGAAAGATCTGCGTGTATCTATATGGTAGTTTCCATTAATAATAGGGGTCTACACCAATTTTCAAACATCCCAAACTTAAAAATCCCATTTATGGTTAGAACATGTTAGAACCAAAGTGACGTCCATGAATTCTGCACAAAAAATCGCTTTGAGGTTTTCGAGGCCGACGGAATCCTGGGGACTTGGCCGTCGACTTCCTTTGGGGATCATCGGAGATGGAGAACCCAACCGTGGGAAAAACTGGGGACCCATCTCTGGTCAACCAAAGTGGAGATCAATATGGGTGTGTCTGAAAATAGTGTACCCCTAAACCCAATGGTTTTGCTGATCATTATCCCTATTAAATGGCTATAATTGGGAATATACCCTATTTTCAGACAAACCCATATGGATAACAGCCAAGTGGCCGTATAAATAAGCACCGATCCCTGATCCGGAGATCCAAAAAATGCCAAACTTTGGGTACCATTTGGGATGCAGAAATTTTAGCCATCCCATGCCATGCAGGTTGTTGAGACATACCATGGACATCAAGATGTGGATCTTGCATGGCAAGGCTGCAAGTCAAGTGGCTAACGTAGCCCACAGATGGGATTCTCCAAGCATGGCATACACTGAGTCCCAAAGATGGTTGAAACATGTTGTAACATGCGGGATTCTCCAAACACGGCGTACAATGAGTCCCAAAAAACAACAACACATGCGTACGTTCGATGAGGAAAGTGATCAATCATCAACTTTTGGGGCCCCAGGGATGGAAACCGAGAAACCCATGTTGCCAATGGTAAGATGATACCAAAATATACCAAAGCTATGCTAGCAGTGCTTCGCGTCTCAGCACAGGTGTTTTTCAAGACAAGTCAGAGTGGCTTGCTCACGTGATTCCTGAGCTTCTCGAACCTGTTTGAGAACTGCGTTTGTTACGAGGTCGTGCCCCCGTCATGGAAACAGCCAAATTGTTTATTCTCATCCCATTAACTATAGTTGATAATATATCATAAACCTGACAGTTATTGGACTTATCATGGGAAGTTGGTTGACACGCAGGGACGTTGGTGCTTCCATTCAACAGCCAACTTTCCGAGAATGGGGACCGCCAGTCAGGCTTGGAGGACCACTGTGAATGCTTTGACAAAGTCGGTGAAAGATAACTGGCCCTACGTATACCCTTCGGTAATTTAACAGTTTGCCACGAAAAACGACCCATTTAACTCGATGATATACCGGTAAAAGAGGTGAATTTACATAGCAATGTTCAATTACCATATAATGCGGTTTCCGATCCATCCATGATTGCTTTGGGATTCAACATCCCAATTTTCCAGACCATGATCTGCTCTTTCCGTGACTACATATTGACATATTGCAAATCAATGTTTTTTGCAATGTATCCTCCAGTAATCAACAGGGGCAATTGAACATCCACCATTTATAGATGATTTTCCTATTAAAACCTCCATCCATGTTTGATGACACCAGAGATAAAATTATGCTGATGCAGCCCTGAAGTAATGTTCACGATTCCCGTGCTTTGTGAACCATTCACATGTTTGTATCACGTCGTCAGACTTGTTATTACCCGACCTGAAAACAATCTGCATTTTTTTGTGGAATTGCTGACACAATTTTCTTGATGTGTTTCTTATCCAATAATTTTGGTTTTCCACTTCCAGCCTGGTGAAAAGCACAATGACCATATCACCAGATCACGTTGCGTGGTGAAAAATACCCCATCAACCATCATCAACCACCCCAACAAAACAACTCAGAAACCATGGGTACCCTGAGGTATTCATCACATATTGTCCCATGACACTATGTATATATATAACACATATATAAGTATAAATATATATGTATACTGATATATATATATATGTATACTGTACATAAATATATATATATGTATGATTGTATATGTACATGTATATGTATACTATATACTGAATATAAATATATTCCATTATATTCCCATTTAACGACAGGTAGAAACCCAGCTATGACCCCTGCGGAACCAGGTCTCACGCCTTTCCCAATTCACTCTGCAGCTTTTGCTCAAGGAGTTCCTACAGGTCGTCCCTCTGGTAACGCTTTTTGGTAACGGAACTCATCAACTCACCAATGTTACAAAAAAACAGTAAACCTGTGGGATGGCGGCGAACGCCATTAAAAGGATGATCGAAGCATTTCATATCTTTGTTGAAGTTGGGATTGCAATACGGTATATACTCAATTATATATATATACACACACGTATATATACCTACCATGTTCATACTTGTTGACTACAGCCCTATAGGTATTGCCAGCAACTAATAGCTACATGACTAAGAACAAGTGTGTTCCATCAAATGGTGTGGTCGTTCCCAGAAACAAAAAAAACATTGGTGATTTACATTGTCCCCATTAGTTGGATAATATGATTCTAATATCCAAAAACAATAGGATAGTCATATCATATATATATATTCATATATCATATTCCTAATATTCCCTAATAACATCCCCACATAATCCCCACATAACATTCCCATCAGGTGGTAAACGAATAGAAATGAGAGCTATTGTCGAACTATGTCCCGGGCGGAAAAACCAAGAAACGCTGGGAGACACCAGCAGGGAAACATCACTGGAGGCTGGTTTGGAAGTAACCTCAGGCCCATATAATCCCCATAGATTCTACTAACATCCGAAAAAAAAAACTATTCCCAAAAACAACTTCGCCAGAATTTATATCCCCTGTGGTGATTTCTTTCTCGGCCGCCAAAGTCATGTTTTTGTTGCATGATGTCCTTTTTACGTGCCTGAATTGAGCTTTAACTCCCCTCCCAACATTTGGGTACGTTTCTTCAAACTCTGCGAGCAGAGGCAGGACCATCATGTGGTTACGTTTTTTGAATGTGCGTTCGGTTGCACTTTGCGGATTGAACGTGCATCACGTTTGCAACAGGGATGAAGTGCAAACAACCAACACAGGCTCAAATCAACGATTTCTACTCGGGACGTGTTGTTTGTTTTTGTTTTTCAACATTACGCACAGCACAGTAGGTTGACATGATCATATGTTGATATCCCCATCCGATCCCCATTAGCTCCAGTATAATATAATTCCCTATAAAGGGAGGGCATTATCGTTAAATAATTCCCCGGTAGAAAAAAATAAAAACCATCGTTACTATTCTGCATTTGATCAGGTTCACAATATATTTAAAATACAGACATAATATCCCAATATATTTATATATCTGTGATGGTTCACACGTGGGTCCAAAATGAGGTTTGAAAACCGTATGTTTTTCTTTAACCGTGGAATATTTTAAAAAAATAATCGGGGGTAAAAAAAATCAAGTCTTTGGAAACCTTATAAATAAACATGGTAAATCCCATTACAACATCTTTTATGATAAAACCTTAAAAATAAACATGGTAAAGACACGGTAAATAAGAAAAGACTTGGTAAATTCTGACCACAACAATGGTTCAATCATAGTAAATCCACAACATCTCCCATGGCATCTTCGCTTAAACCGCGCCTGTCGCTTCAGCTCCCATCTTTTGGCCTTCTCTTGATGCTCCGCCAAGCGCTCCTCCACCTGAAACAAACGACGTGGCGAGGGGAAAAAAACAAATTACTTTACTTCGTGTGATCCCCACCATGACATTTATACATTTTCTTACTGGCAAATCTTCTGGCATTCTATCTGACATATCTTCTGACATTCTATTTGGCATTCTATCTGGCATATCTTCTGGCATATGATATGGCATATCTTCTGGCATTCTATCTGGCAAATCTTCTGGCATTCTATCTGGCATATCTCCTGGCACTCTATCTGACATATCTTCTGGCATTCAATCTGGCATTCTATCTGGCATATCTTCTGGCATATATTCTGACATATCTTCTGGCATTCTATCTGACATATCTTCTGGCATATATTCTGACATATCTTCTGGCATATCTTCTGGCATATCTTCTGGCATATCTTCTGACATATCTATCTGGCATATCTTCTGGCATATTTTCTGGCATTCTATCTGGCATATTTCTTCTGGCATTCTATCTGGCATTCTATCTGGCATCTTCTTCTGGCATTCTATCTGGCATTCTATCATTCTATCTGGCATATCTTCTGGCATATCTGACATTCTTTCTTTCTCTTTCTTCTGCACATTCTTTGTCCCATATCTTCCTACATGAGGTCCGGCAGGGAACACTTGGCGTGGATACTCGCGGTTGAGGTCAGGGAACACTGGGATGGTCGTGGTTGAGGTCCGGCAGGGAACACTTGGCATGGATACTCGCAGTTGAGGTCCGGCAGGGAACACTGGGCGTGGATGGTCGTGGTTGAGGTCCGGCAGGGAACACTGGGCGTGGGTGGTCGTGGTTGAGGTCCGGCAGAGAACACTGTGGATCGCGGGTCGCAGTTGAGCAAGGACGACGAGGACGACGAGGACGACGAGGACGACGAGGACGACGAGGACGACAGGACGACAAGGATGACAAGGAGGACGAGGAGGAGGAGGAGAGGAGGACGAGGCAGGAGGAGGCGGAGGAGGAGGAGGAGGAGGAGGCAACTGACATAAAATCTAACAACCCTCACCTGGCAGGTGGGGAATAAATTGGATTTGACCAACAAACCTTGGGGAATATTGGGGAATATTGGGCATGTAGCCAGTAGAACTAATGCGGATTTGACTTAAAATCGAAGTGATTGGTTCACAAACCGCTCATGAGGATCTTAAGCTATACATAGCTATACAGGGCTGTTGCCGTTGAACATCCACATGAGCATCTCACAGAAGACTTGCTTTTTCTGACGCAACGAGACAATTAACAAAGCGCATTAAACTCACTTTCCCAATTGGATTTGGGATTTAAGTATCACAAACTGGGATTTGACCAGCCGAAGTTGTGATGATATAACCCAAAAGTCTTGCTGCAACAGCTACTGCGCGATTTAAGCCACATGGGATTTCACTCGGGGGATATCATCATGAGCAAACCGACATGTATCATTGAAGTATTTTTCAAGTGAGGGGTTGCAGCCACGAAGGACATGTTCTCAAACACAAATGCTATGCTATCCAAAGCACATAAATGTGGATATTTTTCCAATCACCGCGTGCAATGAGCAAATCTAAGACCCGGAATGCAAACAGGGCCTCGCAACAAATGGACAAGACTTGGAGGTTGAGCGAAACATAAAAAAACAAATCCAACTGACACAGCTGATATTCAACATAGTTTCTCAGCAAAGTTAAGCATTGCAATGTGCTGTCTACGACTATCACTCGAGCATTGGATCCAAATTGACTGGTTGATGGGTGAATGGGGGTTGTCTTCATCCAGAAATACTCATAGCTTCCAAAACCCATGGTACATTGAATCCACTGGGTATCATTGGCTTTATTTAAGGCAGGTGAAAGTCACAGAAAATCACGGCGCTTCCGAGAAAACTGAGGGATTTCTTGTGGAACAAAAATATCGTAAGTAAGTTCTCTCTCCACGACAATTTATTGTTTTAGTTCATAAACCGAAAACCCATCCATTTTGGGGGGTACTTATAGCCTAAATAGCAAACACTAGGATTGCCAAGTTTTCAATGGGAGTAAAACGCAAGACACAGCCCAAAAAAGCACCACAAAACGGTCGACCATCACCCCGCGAAAACACCTCATCGATGGTGGCTGGAACATCAGAGGTGTTCACCTGGAAAAGACGGCCAACTCAAAACAGTGCAATCATACAAGGAAACATATGGAAAAATGCCATGACAATATGTATATATATATACACACATATATATATATATAAATATGCCTATATATATAAGTCTATATAGATGTGTATATGTCTCTGTATATATATATGTCTATCATCTATAAAACTGATAATCCCATGAAACATCGATGGATCCACTGGATGACAATCCGATGTTAGTCTGCTGGCTGCCAGACTAGGAGAGTTTCGTAGGGGAAGAACGAGACTGGTTGGTGGTTTTAACATGTTTTAACCATCTTGAAAAATATGAAAGTCAATGGGACGGATTATCCCATATATTATGGAACAAAATGATTGAAACCAGCAACCAGGAGAATATTTGAAGGCATGGAGAGCAAGAAGGAGCAAAAATAAACAACGGGCAAGAGGAAAAGCAGATGATGAATACCAGCTGTATGTAAACCAATATCTACACGATGTGTCTGATATCTTGATACACATACTATATATCAACAATTTCGAACTATGGATATGTATGGATCAAACAGATTCGACTTCCTGGCTTTTGTTCACTCCAAACTGTGGGAATACACAAAAATCCAGTCGCGTGAGTCGAAGTATGTCGAAGTCAACTTGACCTCCCGCGCAGATAGACCACTAGCCATTTCGAAAAACATCTGTAGTGACAAAGTCGCGGACTTTCGAAAGTTTGGGTTTGGACATGAACAAACGATTTTTACATGTATTTCTACTTAATGATCATTTTCGCCATCAAATCAATTGGGATTTTTACTCGGTGTTAAATCACCCAGTTTAAAACACTGCAAAAATAAAACATATGTATATCCCATCATAAACCATTGATATATATATATATATGTATATTATCCCAATAATCTATATATATGTATACCCAACATAATATTACCCAAAATATATCATATATATATATATATATCCCACTGATCCCATCCTCCATTCAGATTCAACACCTACTCGGTTGGTGTTGTTGAATATGGACGGGGGGGGAGGGATTCATATCCATATCCAAGAAATCCCATTATCCATTCAATCCCTTAAAATGTCATATCCCACTAGTATCCTACAGGGATGTGCCTTGCCTTAAGTTGGACTTAGGGGCTTAATAAAAGGACTTAAGGAAGTTAACTTAAAGTTATGTTAAGTTATGTTATAGGTTTTGTAAGTTAAGTTATATCTTTTGTATTTGTTTTTCTCTAATCTGTACTATGTTGTTCAATTCCTCATGTGTGCCTGGCCGGTTGTGTTGTTTTTCCATTGCGTGTCTTTTCTGTGGCTTGTGACCTCGAAATGCGAACAGATTATGGTAAAAACATGACCATGTTGCCTTTGGCAGTGGTCCATGCAGGCACATGCATGTTTGTCATGCATCTGTATTCAACAACATCTTTTTGTTTTTTGTTTTGGAAGGTTTTGAAAGAGTCCTTCGCAGTTTTTAGGAAACACCAAAAAACACATGTTTAACACCTACGCGTTTACAAATGCAATTGGTCTGAGACGTGGTTACACCATCGCGTTCCCTTCTATTGTTAATCTTTTCATGAGGATACACAAGTGCGTTCTCTTCTTTTTGTGGAAACACATCCCAAACATTTACATATTTCACCGTCATGTGATTGTAGGTGGAAACACATTTTTAATACATTCGCGTTTACAATCTCTGTTTGGTTTATATGTTGGGAAACACATACGTATTTATTATGTATTATCTACATACAGTCGGGAAACACACGCGCATATCTATGCTTTTATTGGCTAATCAAGAGGCGACACATGCGCGTTCCTTTGTTTTCTGGTCTATTCTATTGGATATACTCATGCGTTTCCAGATGCAGCTTCTCTCATCCCTCCACACTAGGCCAGCCATTGTTTTCTCCCGGGAACACTGCGTCAGTGATATCTTCTGCAAGGCTGTATAAGGAAAAAAGGCCTGTAGGCCACGAGACTCTGTTCCAGCTGTCAAAGTGTTCCAAACTTCTTGCGATAAAAAAGAACTGCAAGATTTGAAATCCTGCAATGTCGCTCTCTGCGCGACAGCAGTTCCTGGTTCTGCCATGCTTTCAAGGAGTTAGCGCTTCACTTGGGAAAAAAAATGGCTACCATTAAAAACATCGTTCTAGACGACAAAAAACGCTATCTTTGCTAACTTTTTTGTATTTTTTTTGACGTATGTGCTATCTCATGTTATATTTCCCTATCTATTGATATAAATCCCACATGACTTATACAAGATACCACCATTTATAAATATATATACTTGAACCATGCTATAAAATTAAATATACAACATATAAAATGATTTGGATGTCAAGGCACATCATTGTATGATTATCCCATTCATATCCTATGATTGTTCCACTAATATCCTATGATTATCTGATTCTCCCAATACTTGGAGGAACCACCGGAACCACATAAGTTTTCTCAAGGCGCGGGTGGGACGATTCGCAGTTCTTCGAAGAGCTTCAGCGACAAAGGTGTGTGCAAGAGCACCTGTGCGGACATCGAAACGGTGGTGATCTCCGGTGGTGAAACGTTTCGTAGCATCCACCATTTCTGGTTGGTGGTTGAGCCTACCCCTCTGAAAAATGATGGAGTGAGTAACAGTTGGGATGATTCTTCGCAATATATGGAAAAATAAAAGCCATGTTCCAAACCACCAACCAGCGAAGTTTACTAACTTCGATGATTTGATATGAATTCCATTGATGTCCCAATTTAAAGACATAAAAGCTCCATCTGGCATTTCCGCCACGATTCTTGGGGCAAATATTAGCATCAATGGAATTTTTTCATGGGTTTGTTTGCTTGTTTTTTTATATAATATGTTGATGATTCAATGCAGATAACAATGGGATATTGAAACGTACGTATATCACGGAGAACAATAGGAAATACTAGTGCTGAATTCACCCATTTTAGATTATTTTAGGATATCAATGGATATATATGGAGATTAATTAATGGGATATTAATCAGAATTAAAGGGATACAGTTCACCGTCAGTGTGATAGTTGACATTTGAAGACAGCATGTCTGGGACTGTCTACAAATGGAATAATTATACCACCAAATGGAACCAAATGGGTATTTTCCCCAAGGTCTAGCAGGGCGAAGGGATTAAATCTGGGACATGGTCAAGGGATCTTCATTTAAAAGGGCTAAACCTGGGTGGTGTCCCCTTCTAAGGTGCAACAAAATGTGAGATGATGTGAAAGAACATTGGCCCTGGACGATTTAGATGTTTGGCGCCCTTGTTCCCAAAGGCGGTCAGTGACGGTCAAATGTGTCATGTTCTTGGCTTTTCTTTGACATCAAGCTGCCAGGCACTTTGGCTGAGCATTGTGACAGCACGTTGGCTTGTCATGTTCCTTTCCCACCAACACATTGGTTGGTGGGCTTTGACACATTGGTCGCTAGTGGTTTAACGGTTTGGACTCAACAACATCAGCATGTATCCTCTGAATTGGGGGAGCTAGCAACCGGCGAGTAATTTTTGATCTGCATCCAAATTGGTCCCATTCGCCTTCCATCTATTTGAAGATAACTCTGCTTTTCAGAATCAATAATAGCAATGTCCAACGAACATGTGCTTGCTATTTTGAATGTTTCCAGGACCGGGCAGTCCCTGCAGGATATGATTCTTGGTTTCAACATACTAGACACTTGGGATGTTTTCAAAAAATCGAAAGGTAAAAACTGCCAAATCAGCCACTTCTTTTTCCAATGTAGCAATCGGACGTCAAGCAATGTTTCCAAACCACCGCAGCCAAGGTCCATTTCCATCTCACTGTACACCTTTCCTGAGCCCGTGGAGCCATACATGACCATACACTTATATGAAATCCTTTGGCTTTGGGGCTTCAACATGGAATGATTGTCCAAGTCAACCAAGTTTGGGAGAAAGACTGAATTTATTGCATTTTGATGGGTGCCTTAAAAGTCCTTAAAATACATTTGGTCGGGTAAGAGCTCGCTTGAAAAAAGTGCCCTTTGCTTTGAGGAAATTCTGCAAAATATCCGCGCCATTCTTTCATTGCTATGCCCAAGTGGTCGTGGTGTCTATGTTGTGTATCTCGTTGCTGGACTATCATTCACCTGATATGAGGTCTTTGCAGGAACATCCTGGATTTTTGGCGTTGACATAAATAACAGATGTTGCTCATTCTCAGATTTTCTCATCCCTTTTCGTATCCGTCAACCTTCCCTTGAAACCCACGTCCCTGAAACAACGCACCCAGCGTTGGATCCGAATCGTAGCGGCAACTCCAACAGCCTCGAAATCTCATGGTAGTTCTTGTGAGTTCGTAGCTCATGGCGCCTTGCTCATCACTGAATGGATGGGAAAATTCACGTCGGACATGCCCGTATTTCATGGGAAAAGCCATGGGAAAAGCTGTAGATTTTCGCCTGAAGCAACACATTGAGTCACTAACCATACACTGTTCCCTGCGGGTGGAAAATCTTTCAAAGTGGGGTGCAAAATGATGTGGACAACAACAAATCTGTTCAACAAATGTTGGAAACCATCTAAAATCGTGATTTCCCACATAAACAAATGCAATTTTGGGGGTACACCTCATTTTTCAGACCCATTTGGGCATCATTTTCTGTTCCAGCCAACATCCGTGTGTCGAGGGTTTCTTCCCGATGAGTACCCACATCAAAATCGCTGGTAGATCCTCCCCCAGATCAGCCGAGAGACGCCATCATTGCCTCAAAATCAGACAGCAGCATGCAAAAGTGAAACATGTCGGACCTGAAGAATGGCAATGATGCATTTGTTCCCAATATGCCAAAACGCCCCCCCCTTGACCCCCCCCTTAATCTGGTACGGTACGGTGGTACGGTTATGTACGGTTCACTGGTACGGTTGGTACGGTCGGTACGGTTGGTAAGCGTACCAAACGTACCTTACTAAGCGTACCAAGCGTACCTACCCAAAGCGTACCAAGCGTACTAAGCGCACCAAGCGTACCGTACCAAGCGTACCAAGCGTAGCGTACCTATCTTATAGCTGGATACCAAGCACCTATCTTGAACTTAGATAAGTTTAAACTGTTAAACACACCCACAAGCAAAAGAAAAAATGATCATCCTGTGCCTCTCCAATGAAAACCTATGTGGATGAGAAGTCTCATTGGCCAAACACAATAAAGTTATATAAAGTTTAACAATGTGGAATGGAGGTGGAAACAACACGCCAAGACAGTTACCAGACTCAGCTGATTTGAGACGGAAAGGGAAACCTCTGCCAGTTGCAATGGATTTATGATTTGTGGTGATACCTCCGCTTGTGGTTATGGGATGTTATGGCTATCCCGGAGATTGGAGACCCAACACGCAAGCGTTTTTCGCCACGGTGGAATCCGTTGCCAAGCCACGGTTGTCTTACCCCTCTTGTTGCCTCATCGGATAAGACACCTCTATTGGGGATGGTGAGCCGGTTAGCCCCTTTTGGACACTAAAAGCCACGCATTGATAAAACAAAGAGCTGCCACTAAACAAATCACGTGGTCGAGACGAAATGGATACCGTGAAACTATGCATTGAGGTGTTGAACATTCCAAAACTAAACTAAAACTGTGATCCGCGCGCCTTTTTTAACACGGAAAACCCACTTCTGCAGCCAACAACAGTGTGGCATGACTGCCATGACTGCCATGATTAAGAAACTGTTGGTACCATTCATTGTCCTGCAGGATGCCTTCATCAAAATGGCACTGCATGAGTTCATGGAAACCAACACATGTGTTGAACCAAATCATAAACATTACCTATCCCTATTACTAATATACAAGTTGGGATTTTTATGTTACACAATGTTATATATATATGTATATATATATATACACATATCTTTACACATCCCTATATCTATATATATAGAGAGAGAGAGATCCTCCTGAACATGGGCAGGAAAATAATAACCCCATGATGACCTGTGGAGCCAAGCATCGCATCGGAAGGTGCGACAGACTTTGGCACTTTCCACGACAGCCTCCAAAGAACCTGCGGACGGGGCCTTCCCGTGGAGGGGTTATCTCCTGCAGCTGTCCATATCTGGAATGATATACCCTCTGATAAACTAACATAGCTATGGAAAATCACCATTTGTGATGGGTAATTTAACTATAAATGGCCATGTTCAATAGCTATGTTAAATTATCAGAGGGTAACGATATATCAAGATCCAATCTGAATCCCAAACATTGAAAGAGCTAGGAACCAACAGGATTTGCAGGCACCAGAAACTCTGGGATGAACATCCGGCTTCAATTGGATGCCTCCCAGCATCCACAGCTGCTTTCAGTGCGGCACCACTCAAGCCAGCGCAAACCAAGCACTTGGAGTTCAGCAAATAGCGACAAACCTGAAGCCGCAGGGCAAGCCAGACATGCCGCGATGGTGAGGCCATTTTTCTGAAAGAGATACCACAGTGCCATGGCCATGGCCATAGTTGGATGAAGAACACAATATATATAATATATAATATATGTATATTATAAATATATATGTATATATAATATAATATATATATAATTATATAGAGGTCTCCTAAAATGGAAGTACCCCCAAATCATCCATCGTTTTTTAGAATTTTCCATAACCATCCAGCTATTGGGGTACCCCCATGTATGGAATCCCCATAAGCAGAAGGATGACCCAGGATATCTTGGGTTAGATCTACATTCCTGGCAGTTGACTCTGTCAGAAGACCAGCCAAACTGAAGCAAACTACAACAGACTGGAATGCACATGTTACATTTGCAATCATTTACACATATGCATAGAATCTGCAAAACTACGTGTATATATAGCAAGTGTATTCACATAGTATACATTCACATAATCATATAAACTATATAATATATCATACCCTCTAGTTATTTAGCAGTTCGCGTTCTTCAAACCATGGCCCATAGAAATCGAGGATTTTTCATGATTTACCTATATTAAAACTGGTGATTTTCTAGTTCGCTACGTTCAATAACCAAGGGTTGAATCCTAGGAAATTATCTTAAATCTGATTAAAAAAACAATTCCATTTTATCCCCATATAATATCTATTAATATCCCATTAAATATGGAATAATATATATATATATATTTATTTATTTATATATATGATATAATATCTATATATATATATATATGATATAATATCTATTAATATCCCATTAAATCCCATCCCATTAAATGTCCATATAAAATCTTAATATTTTCTACGAACAAAAGCTACACACCTTCTCCTTAACGCCTCGGCTGGCCTCATAGTGGCCGCCCGCAGCTGCCAGCATCAGCAGGTTACAGCCGTCCTGAGAGAACCAAAAACGATGGGTATTGGGTATAAAATTCTCTGACATAACCATATTAGACCATATTATTGGGGATTTTTGATATCCTTGGGATGAGTTTACAAATCAACTTCTGTGGGATGCATCCCACTTGGTAAAGTAAGTGGTAAAACATGTAAGTGTATATTATATAATTCAAATT